AAACCGTAAAACTTAAAAAAGTTACTTCATGATATACCCCTATCATCACCACCACTAGATTGACTGGGGGTAGATCCCCCCACTTCATACACATATGAGATAAGTGATTATAGTCACTTTATAGAGGAACCATTACTTTTCAAATAGTAACATCTCTTTCCCTCACCCCAATGAACACTAGGGAAGCATTTCTTGCATCTGCTTAGAAAGTGGTATATCTACACATACGCATGCCGGTATTTGTTCCATATTGATGTTTGTGTGCGTGCAAACTTGTCACATTACTTTCTAGCACAGCACCTTAGACCTTAGCTTATGTTCATTAGTAGTGTGGACTGCCTGGCATGCAGTGCAAATTAAATGATACTTAAAGACAAAATAGTACAATTCAGCCCAACACAATCTTTTAGTTAAATGTCTAAATACAGATTGTAATAGAACATCATGCATTGATTTCTGTCTTGGGGACAAAACATTGCACCTCCATTTTCACTATCCTTGGAATTTGAAATAAAGCCAGATTGCTTTGCTTATTCTTAATTCCAACAATTAAAGGGACCCTCTGGGCACCATAACATCTACACTGAAATTAAGTTGCTATGGTGTAGGAGGACCCCAGCTCTGGTATACTTTTACAGGTTAAAACGTTCACGAACAGTTTAACTCCAACGTCTCCTCTTCAGGGATGTTTTGCTTGCCCTCTTCAAATCCCCTTTTCTAAAAAACTGAAGTCTTGCAGTCAGCTGACACTCTAAGTCAATCAGTAGCTCCTTATTCACAAAACACTTTGAGAAACTTTTGTACATTTCTCAAGTTGTTTTATGAATAGGGGACCACTTGTTAGCTTACAGTTGCAATCAAAATTATTCAATCCTCATTGAAAATCAAGTTTTGTCAAAATTTACAGACTTTCAGCAGATTGCTGAACCAGCTCAACAAAACAAATGCTTCTAGTGGTTTCCCCAAATTCAACTGAAAATGCAACTTATACTGACTTCTTCAGTCTCATAGATATTCAACCCCCTGAGTGGAATAAATATGCAAAATATGTGTTATCTCAAGCATACCCGATGCAACTAAGCAAGGGCATTATTAGTTGCACCAGGTGTGCTTGTGCTGGAACACTTGAAATACTTGAACTGGCTAGGGGTTTGTTGAGTGTCAAGTTTGACTGCATGCTAGAAATATGGCTAAGCCAAAAAAATGCAATAGAAAGTAGAAAGTTAAGAGAAGAGATTATCGCCCTTCCCAAACAAGGAACATGATACAAAAAGATAGCAAAGGCACTGAATGTTCCTAGAAACACTGTTGGAAGCATAGTTTGCAAGTTCAAAGTTGAAGAAACAGTGCTTACATTACCTGGACGGGGCAGAAAAAAAAAAGCTATGAATGGCTGCAACCAAATTTCTGAGAAGGCAGGTTGTGAAAATCCCTTGAGTGACTGCAAAATACTTGTAGTAAGACTTGATGGCAACAGGCATTGAGGTTTCAGTGAGTACAGTAAGGTGCATACTAAACGCAAAAGATATCCATGTTAGAACTTCAAAACATATACCACTACTGACCCAAAAGCACATAAAAGTCGTCTCCAAAATCATATAAATAAGCCACAGAAGCTTTTGGATTCTGTTTTGTGGAGCAATGAAACAAAACTGGAACATTTCAGCCCAATGGATCTGCAGTATATCTGGAGGAAGAAAAATGAAGCATACTCTGAAAAGAACACTCTGCCTATAGTTAAGCATGGTGGTCCCTCGGTGATGCTTTGTGGCTGCTTTGCATTTTCTGGCACTGGAAACCTGGAGTGTCTGGAAGGCAAGATAGATTAATTGGAGTATCAGGAAATCCTAGGAGAAAACGTAATGCCATCTGTGAGGAAGCTGAAGCTCGTCATTGGACCTTCCAACAAGACAATGATCCCAAGCATAACTCAAATTCCACCAAGGCTTAGTTGCAGAAGAAGTCCTGGAAAATTCTAAAGTGGCCATCACATTCACCTGACATGAACCCCATAGAAAATCTCTGATGGGATTTCAAGAATGCAGTTGCAGAATGCAAACCCAAGAATTTTACTGAACTGGAAGCCATTGCTCATGAGCAATGGGCTAAGAATCCTCGGCAATGCTGCCAGAAGCTTGTCTGGCTGTACATCTTGTTTGTAGCATATCATAACAGCTCTTCTAAGTACTAGAGATGCTTGCCATGAAGGGGTTCATTCATTTAAAGAATGGAGAAGTCATACATTGCATTTAAAGTTGAATTTGGGGAAACCAATTGAAGCATTCATTGTGTTACTCTATTTCAATTGCTTTTGTCTGATTTGTTTACTGCAAACAGCTTAAAGCCTGTAAATTGTGACAATAAGCCTGATTTTCAATGGGGGTTGAAAAATTTTGATTGCAACTGTAAAGCGGGTTCTCCAAACTCTGTCCCTCCAAATGATGCTGATCTACAACTCCCATGATTCTTTAAATGAAATAGACAGCCAGAGAATCATGGGAGCTGTAGTTCAGCAACATCCGGAGGGCCGGAGTTTTTTAAAGAACCCTGGCTTAGAGCATCAACAGTGCACTTAAAAGGTAGGGCTCGGTTTCATTGTCCATCTTCTGTATTTTATGTGATCCAAGGTGAGATGTCAACGGAGGATAAACAGTATAAATTATTATGCAAAATAGTTGTCTTGTGTCTTACTACATGTTAGTGTGTGTTTACATTTTTTTTCTGAACTGCAGCGGAATTATCCGGTATTGACTACAACAATGAAAACACTTCAGACAACAATGTTACCATGCACTGTGAAGAATGAACCACAAACGCCACCTATTAATCCAACAAATCCAGATACTGCTAGAGATTTCACCACCAAGAGTAATGATGCACAGACACGGGGAGACAACTGACAGTGCTTTGTTACTTTAACATTAATGTCATTAAGTTGCCATGCACACAATGATACATGGAAAACTAGCTCATCAGAGTTTATTGTATGTTAATTAAAGATTGTCTTAAAACTGTAATGTTTGTGAATCAAGTCAGTAAATTGCCTTCTGAAAAGTATTTGCTGGAGAAGCCTGCACATTTCAATGATATCCATTGTCCTCAAGTTTTAGGGCATTTCCAGGAAGTACATTGCTTGCCAACAAGTTCATTCGATTATTATATTTGTAATCCATTAAGCAATCATTTTACTACCTAAAATGAGTAAAAAAGTGTTATTTTAATTTACTCTCTAGTTACACTCTTGTTGCAAGCTTATAGAGCAAGGGCCAGCCCTTAATTCACTCGTAACAGTGCTGGGAGTACTTATCTCAGATCACTTCCTCCAAGTGTTTGTGAAGAGAAACTCATCGAAGCTGCCCTTTTTCTGTTCAGCCTGATCTCCATTGGACAACAGGGAAGCCATCCTCCCATTGTTAAGCAAAAATATGGGTGTCTAAAAATAACAGCTTTGCAAAGTGTGGGTACAGTATGTGTGTAGCGTAGGTTGTGCCTTGCAGTGTGATTGCGCGTGTGTGTAGCCTTGTGTGTGAGCCTAGCCGTGTATGTGGCAGTGTGTAACACGGGGCCCTTGCAGTGTGGTGGGGAAGCACAATACCACAAACTGCTCAAGCAATGTACATTATAACACAGCCTGCATATCCACAAATACAACCCTATAAAGCCTCTGCAGTACCAATACATACCAATACATACCACAAGCAGCATACAGCAACATACACACAACTGTATTGCAACTGTCATTAGTCTAATACTATCCTTACCTGTTGTGTCACTTTACCCCACTCCCTCTAGCATGTAAGCTAGAACCTCTGTTCCTGTGTGTCCAACTTGTCTGGCTACAACTACATGTCTGTTCGTCCACCCACTGTAAAGCGCTGCGGAATTTGTTAGCGCTTTATAAATAATAACATAATAATAATAAAATAATAATAACTTAATTTTACATTTTTTATTTTTTTAAAACACCAAGTAACTTGAAAGGCTTATTTTGGAAAAGCTAAAAAGTTGCCTTTCTGTGTTGTGGAAGAACAAATGTATATTTCTGGAGGCATCATTCACTGATATAATGCCTGCAAATTTGCTGAAAATGTAAGCTCACTCCCTGCTTTCAAACAGTTGAAGTTTCAACAGGTCATATAATTCCTACAGTCAGGGAAGTGGGGAGTGAATAGACTACCATTTTACTGTCAGCATTAGATTAGTATTCCAGAGACCGATAAAGATTGCTGTAGTTTTGCAGTTTTAAATACCTTTATTTTATATATATATTTATGATTTAACTGTATTTATTACAGGCTTATTTCAAATCTGTGCATACCTGGTGATCTGCATGATACAGTCAGTTCTACCCTGGATTGTTAAATTTTTAGACTTTGTTTCTTTAGTTGTTTGGTTTTGCAACAAAAACGAGGAAGGGCTTAGGTTACTGCTCTCTCTTTATATCTATTCCTGTGTTATTTTCTATTTTCTATTTTCTTTTAATTCTTTATTTTTGACTCAGGTCATGGTCACAATAAAAACATTACAGAAGAAAACCAACTTTTGCATGTCATCAAAAACTTACGGCATAGCATGACAAATATGATATCTAGCAAGGAATGGCATTGGACCAGGAGCTGAGGGAATTTAGTTTTGGGTAGTGGGAGACAGCGCGTGTCAGTGTGCCTAGTGTGCCCAAGGGATTGGCCTGAGGGACTAGGGGTCCGGCGTTGCTAGAGGCAAATAGGCTGAGTGTGCTTATCGTGTTATAAGAGTGTTATGGTCAGTGTGGCAGGCTGGGTTGTACGGGGTGCGTGTGCTCTATGGTGTGGGCTTTTGGATTGTGTGCTCCTGTTTGGAGTGATACCCCTTAACCCTGGAGATGGGGGTGGGGGAGAAGGAAAAGGGAGAACGTTGTTGCAGTGCTTTTATGCTGTATATTTGCAAACATCGGGGAGAGAGCAATCCCGAGATCCATGGAAGGCATGCCCATGTAACAAGAGGGCTGTTAGGGGTAGGTATTAGTCCCTGGGTTCTTCAGGTCCGTTATGAGGGCTCCTACTCCAGCCCGTCAGGGGACGAATGATGTCACCTTGGTAGGGGCCCCTGTTGATGGCTGTTCCGCTGGTTGGTTTGGTCCCGACGCAGACAGAGTTCTGCTGCAGCCCCAGGGTTGGTAGGAGATTCGTGGCGCCCTGCATATCTGTGATCTTGTACGATATGTCGCCGTGATGGATTAAGAGTGCCCGAGGCCGCCTCCAGTGGTATTGTATGTTGTGCAGGCAGAGGAGAACCGTGAAGGGTTTCAGCAAAAGGCGCCAGGCCAGGTTCGCCTCTGATAAATCAGCATAGAAGGAGAGCTGCATATTCTCAAACTCATATGGCGTGGTAGGTTCTCGTTACTTGAAAGACCGCTGATCTATCCTCATGGTTCAGGAAGCGTACCAGGAGGTCTCTCTGTGCTGTGGTCGGGCAGTTAATGGTACACAAGCTTAAGGGGGGTAACCCCAAATGTAAACTATATAAAGAAAGAAGGGTAGTGTACCAAACTGGGGGAGCTGGGATGGATAACAAGTATACAGGTACAAGTAATCAATCCAGATAAGGAAAAATCTCGATATCTAATATAGAAAATAAAAAATACTTTATTAATAGAAGAGTGTTGAAAATTGCCAAATACCCTACGTGATGTGTACAAACAAAATGTGAAAAAAAAACAAAAAAGGTAAGTTGAAAAAATACCTAAAAAGTCCTAAATAGGAAAATAATAGATCTAGCTAAATGATTGTTACCTAGCAGGAACTATGGACGTGATACCAAATAAATCAATTTCCTATTGAAGGATCAAATAAAATCGATTACAAATATACTGAGTGTATAAATCAGCACACATCTGTGCCAAATATTCTACTCAATAAAGGATGTGACTAGGAATAGCAACTACTATAGGATCGGTATAAAGTCGCTGTTATGGCATACAAGCGCAGTAAATCACAGCCCTTAGCCATGCTCGCTGCCTATATTTATTGTACTCGTGTAGGATAAAAAGGTGGTAGCGATTGCAAGGGCTAAGCTGCAATATCAGCTAAGTCCTATAGTGGACTCAAACTCCCATGAGTGGCAGGCATAGGTTTACAAGTGAGATTTACTGCCACCTATGATAACGCCTGGAGCTGGAATGGTGCTGAAAGCAGAGGGAGGGTAACCAAGGTGGTGGAAATTAAATCATAGCTATAAGGGGTCTATATATGGTTGCCTCACATCTGTGTCCATATTTAAACATATAGTATGGAAACACAAAAGGCAGACACATATAAAGCTAGTTTACTGTGGTAAACAATGGGGTACGACTAAGTCTAAACTAGGACTACCACTCCCATTACTAGCAGTCATAAATATATGACTGTGGTTTATTACCTGTGTTACAGGGAACAGAGGGAGGGAAATGGCACTTTTGAATATAAAATCTTATTTGCTTATAAATCAAAAGCTTGTGCGCACAGAATAGACCTAAACCACTGGTCTGATAAATAGAAAGGTTCATGCAAGGGTAATACTGCACTAGAAAAATAGCCGTGCTACACTTCCACCCCTGTGCCTTCAAAGGGCACCTCAAGCTATACCCATGGTAGCTATATATACACAATGTCCTTAGTAAAGTTAGTTAGCTACAGATGTGCTATAGAGTCTGATAGCTTATGACAGAGATACACAGTCTACATTATGTTAAGTCCTAATGCTATGGTGTCCATATGACCAGGTCTCATCATTTTCAACATTATTATTTTTTATTTTTTTTAAACCTGCCAGGTGGGGTACATTGATGTTGTGGCAGGCTTATGCAATGTATGATCATCTAATGTAACTATACCCTCATTATTTTTGCCTAGATTAGGTGCTTTAAAAAAACAAACAAAAAAAAACTAATAAAAACTGTCAACATTGAAGTTGCTGTTTAGTGGATGAGTGCGGTGGATCTTGTGTATTGGATAAATTGGCCCCCAGCAGCACCCCATTTATGCATGTTCAGGTGAGTGCAACCCTTGGTTCTTTATATATATATATATATATTTATTTGGGAGTCTAGCCAACTCCTTGGTTTTGCACCCCTCCTGTCACAGGTGCCTCATTCCAGGGCCCTATTTAGCCTTGTACTGCAGAGAGCCCCAGATGGAATTTTTTCCTCAAGTAAGTGGGTTAATCTCATAAGAGCAGACAGTAGGCTGTTAGTGTAGGACCTGCCGAATATGGGGTACATTGACGTTGTGGCAAGCTTATGCAATGTATGATCATATAATGTAACTAAACCTCCATTATTTTTGCCTAGATTAAGGGGTTTAAAAAAAAAAATCTGTCAGCATTGAAGTTACTGTTTAGTGGATAAGTGAGTGCACTTGTGTTCGGGGCAAATAGCCGTATATGGAGTAAGGTTCCAGCATAAGCGTAGGATAGTATAAAGGGAGCAAGTCAGTTGTGGTGTGCCGAGACCGACGATACGGTAGGCCTGTAAATAAAGAGGGCCCACCAAGGAGTAAGTAAGTAAAGTAAATGGAAAGAAAGGAGAAAGTGTTGAAATGAGGAGTGGGTGGGAGGGTCATTCTGATGCTGACCTCAAGCGATATGAGTCAGGTAAGGGGTGTCCCTTATATAGGGGAGTGAATTAATTTAAGCCCCTCCCAGAAATACAGGCCAAACGGCCTTAAAACTTGTGTTCGGGGCAAATAGCCGTATATGGAGTAAGGTTCCAGCATAAGCGTAGGATAGTATAAAAGGAGCAAGTCGGTTGTGGTGTGCCGAGACCGACGATACGATAGGCCTGTAAATAAAGAGGGCAAAAAGAATAATCAAAGATTTAATACAGTCAACAATATATACAAATTAACCAGACATTTCCTTAAATGCATTACGGTATTTAATTCCTTGAAGGATTTTGAAGGTAGGAATCTAGGACCGCAACTGGACACCATTTGTTGTGGGTAGGATAGTATGTTATCTCTACTGTTGGTGCGTGTTGACTCGTTTCGGAATGTGGTAGAGCCAATAGATAATGATATATGTGTTTACATACGTGGGATCGTTGAAGACAATGATCTGTCTGAGTGGTGGTTATGGTAGTGGATTCTCTGGCCTGAGAAAGGCATAAAAGGCAGTCTGCATGGCTGGTAATGGCCGACTTGGTAGTATAATTGAATGGTTGTAGCTCTAATAGGTCCGATAAGGATGGAAAAGTTGGATGGCTATTGGTAATCTCTGAGAGGAACGTGGGGGGATGGATTCCTGAAAACCTCTGAGTATATTCTTGTCTGGTATGATAGCATATGGTAGTTTTGGCCATAGGTTATCCCGTGTTGTTGAATGCCTGTAAAATATATAATTAATGGTGTGTGAGATGGTTTTAATTTCAGGTGGCAAAAAATGAAGCAAAACCTAGGAGAAATGTTATGACACAGGTTGAGCTATGTCGTGTTCCAATGAGATTCTTTAAAGCCAGGTGAATAGCTGTGTTATGCGTTCTACAAGTATGGGATGGAAGTGCTAGGTGGGATAGTGCATGCTATGCTGCATGAGTATGTCTAATCCATGATTGTGTCTCTGGAACGAAAGAGTGGCCATGACTGTATGGGCGGCTGTAGGAAGCGTATGATGAACATGCCTGGAATATAAATGAGACAATTGTCGGCAGGGATGTATACCCCCGCCTGGTACATGAAAGTAAAATGTGGTAAGTGGCCAACCAAGTGAGTTCCCCAGCAATACCATGATCATATGGATGATGAGTGGCATTTGTTGATGATATGACGTGCTTAGTTGTCTGAGTAACAACGGATTGATAACCCTGACCATGATTTACCCCATGCCACAGCAGCTGCTTTTAGCGTGGAAAGGATTGCCCATTTTATGCCATGTAAGTGTCAGTTTGTAGGGTAGATGGTAGCCGTTTACTGTGTTGATGATATTGGTCTTACTTAACGAAGCTTCAACCAATGCTTGAGTGATAGCTGTAAAGGTAGATCAATGGTGTGTATAGTAAGGAAACTCCTCGGAGGGTATGAGGGAGTTGAGACTTGGGGTAGCGAAGGTGTGTGGTGCCAATAAGTCTATGGTTAGTCTTTGTTTAAGGGAAGATTCCCGTGTGACAATACCAATGTGTTTGTGTTTGGTGCTATGCTGTAAATGGTGGAGATTGGAAAACCCAAGTAAAAACCCCTCTGCAAATCTTGGCTATGAGTGTGTTTACAGCCGACGGTTCTGTTGTGCGGATTGTAAGTGAGGGCATGCTATATTCCTTGAGGATTTATTATGATACCTGTATGGGGGAGCCCTTTGAAGCTCCAGAGCCTTAGTAAATCTACTACAAGTATGGAAGGGTGATGAGTCAGTAGTGTTGAAAATGCATTGGTGTGTACAGATGGTGAGTACGTTATTTGTAAGTTGTATTGGGACACATGGTTTGTCATGTGCCTGAATGATTTGAACATATATGCAACAGTCTATATGCAATGCAACTACTAATACCAATTGTCTCTGGTAGTTCAGAGGTGCTGGTACCTGGAGCCTGCGAGTGCTCGTCCGTTTGTTTGGGAGAAAATCCCTTCTGTATGGGTACCTGCACAAATAAGCATCTCTACATATTCCAAATGCCAACACAACCAAGGGATGGTCAGATCCCGATTTACCTAGAATCCCTGGGTCTGACCATCATAGATACATCATCATACATATTTATGCCTTGTTTCCCCAGTGTGCCGGGATCATATGTGCAGGGTTAACGTCTTGTACCAAGAATTGATTGTACCAGGTAACCGAGTTTCGGTTGGTGCTGGTTGTACAGTAGCGTGAGGCCCAGCCTTGTGAGGGCTGTGACCGACTCGAGATTGCCAGTCTGTCGTAAATTTTTGGGCTCATGAGTTTGAGTGAGGCTAGCATGGCCTGGGTGTCACCTGAGTTGGTGTTGCTGGGCCTTCCCCTGCCTCCGTGTTGTCCGTTGATGTATGGAGGAGTTTGAATAACTCTGCTTTCCTTGCTGTGGCAGGGTAGGGGATTTGTCGCCTCCTTAGGTCGGAGCCACATCTCCTCTGCTTGAAGGTGTATCACTTCTAGCCGGGGTGCTAGGAAGAGGTGATTCTTCACAATCTTTTTGAGAAATACTTAAATAACAAAGATTGCAATTATTATTTGTACCCAGGGGTCTTGTACTGGCTTGCTAGCTAAGCCGCAAAGCGAAACAATTAGGCATGGTGTTTTTTGGTGACTGGTGAGGCCCTGCTAGTTGCCAAGTGGCTTGAGAGACTCTATCTATGCTTGGTGCGAGGGGATTTTGTGTGGCCACCGAACGTTGTGGCAGGATGTTGGCCTCTCGGTGACTGTAACCAGAAAAATAGGAAGGGGAGTGACAGGTAAGGCCCTCTCTATGATACAATGCGAGGCGGCTAGCTCACGAGTGGCCTGAGGGGTGTATGCCTCCGAGTGTGAGGCGGGATGTTGGCCTCGCGGGACCACTAACCGAAGCATAATGCAGAGAATTGCCATTTACGTATATACAGATGCGTGTGCTACTGTGTAATAATATGTGTATTTATAACAGATGTTGATATACTGCTTGCTATGTGAATTGTTGTATGCCTTATTGAATGGTCAGTGAACATGGTGTTGCAAAATGCAAGTGCACTGGAGATCTGCCGAGTGCCCTATAGGTGGCAGTGTAGTTGATACTGATTGGTATGTGAAATGTTGTTTGTCTGTTGACCTATAGGGGTCAGTGTTTTGGTGTTTGTAAAACGCCATGAAAAACCCCATGAAAATTGTCAATGTACATGACAGACCTGTAGGTGGCAGTGTTGATAGAACCACTGTTAGTCTTGATGTGAAATGTAAATTATTGTGAATTAAACCTGAAGTTGAGCCCGTGTTGGAGTTTAATTTATGATTTATCGTTATGTTTAAAACAATCTTATGTGTAATTTATATTGGCTGGTAATTGTATATGACATGTGAAGACAGTTTTGCTGTTGACCAGTAGGGGTCAGAAATGCTGATTGTCATGATTCTCTTTTATTCCCGAGTTTGGTCCTTAAGGGGTTAATCCAAATGCAAGGTTAACGTGAGATTTTGAGAGTGACCTGTAGGGGTCAGTGTGGTTTATGTGAAACATTGTTCGTGAGCTATGCCCCAGCATTATAGTTGTATGACAGGGAAACAAACAGTGCCCGTTTGACAATATACAATACGTGAACATAATAGCTTAATAACAGTCATTGTAACAAACCAAAGTTCTGTTCGTGGGTTGTAAACGCACGAAACGTGGGTGTAGTACAATAGTAAATGCATGAACTAGTTCCCGTTTGGTAGAAAATTGCACGAACTGTGAGCCTGGTATGTCAGGGAAACAAAAGGAAACGAGCAGTGAGATTCGAAATGCACGCACAGAATTGCCTAGTATGTTTAGGCAATTGAAACAGAATGTGTTCCCGTTTGGGAGTATGCTAATGCTCGAAATGAGCCAGTGACAGATATAAACAAGTGAATTTAAACGAATGATCTGCATGAACATGCAATGGTTTTAAGACAGATTTAGAAAAAATGCAGCCGTAAAGTGAGGACCTGACCCGTGCATGGTGCCATGGGACTGATGCCTGGCATAACGGGTAGGTCGACTTACGGTTTGTGAGTCACTTGGACACCATCCACAGCGATAGATTGAAGAAAGAAGGTGGTAGGCCGGAAAAGCCTGTGGCTGAATTCCTGACACAGCTCAGCTTAGAAAACCTCATGGAGTAATCAGGTAAAATGGCGTCTGGATGACCCAGAAGTGGAAATCATTATGATGCTGACCTCAAGCGATATGAGTCAGGTAAGGGGTGTCCCTTATATAGGGGAGTGAATTAATTTAAGCCCCTCCCACAAATACAGGTCAAACAGCCTTAAAACTATATATATATATATATATATATATATATATACACATACACACATACATACATATACACACACACATTCGTTCTACCCAGAGGTGCTCAGAAATCAAGAATTTCAGTCCACGCACAATGGGGAAGGGGGACATGCAATCACAAGGTCAAGGATGTGCACAATTTGCCAGAGGTAAGCCCCTGGCCCAAGATACCAATCTCTCAGTGGTGCTCACCCACAATTGTTTCACGGACTCATTATTGTGAACATGCAGTTCTAGAATTTCATGTGTTGCAAGCAGGAAAAATGTGCAAGCTAAAAGATCTGAGTGACATTGACCAGGGCCAAATAGCAATGGCTAGACTGTGAGCATCTCCAAAATGTCAAGTGTTGTGGGGTGTTCCCTGTATACAGTGCTTTGTACCTACCAAAAGTGGGGCAAGGTAGGACAACAGGCATCAGGGCCATAGGCACCCAAGGCTCACTGATGCATGTGAGAAGCGAAGGCTAGCTCATTTGATCCAATCATACTTCTGCAGCTCAAATTGCTGAAAAATGTAATGCTGGCCAAAACAGAAAGGTGTCAGAACACACATGATAAACCCTGTCCACCACTGAAAGTGCATTCAATGGGGTTTTTTTTTTTTTAGATCCGTTAGATGGCCGGTTGAGTTATTCTGCTGGGAAACCTTGGCATTCATGTGAACATTACTTTGACGCGTACCAACTACTTAGAGTTTGTGTAGAGATCCCCACCTGGAAACTTGCAGAACCTTATTGACTTGCTGCTAATACCATGTGCCAGATACCATAGGAAACCTTTAGAGTCCATGCATCGATGCATCATAGCTGTTTTTCCAGCACAAGGGGGACCGACACGATATTAGGTAGGTGGTTTTAATGATCTGACTGTATATCGGTGTATATTTATAAACAACTCTCACCTGCTTTGGCCTGAATCTCACTAAGCATGCCAGGAGTTCATCTGAGACAGGCGACATTTTGCACTCAACTTTATGAGTCATATAATCTCAGAATGGTTTCTGTTATTTTACTCTGATGTCATCTGCATCTAGAAAGGGCAGATCCAATTTATGTTTTTTCTTTATCAGGGAATTAATTTGCCTGAGGGCAAGGCAACAGGAGCTTTGACACTGTCAGGGTTTACTAAAGTGAGCATTGTTGGAAATTCAAAGTGAATTTAAAATTTATGGGTAACAATTCTCCAACTTAGATATGGTTCCAGTTCAGCTATTTTGGTATAAAAATTTAATTCCCTTTGAATTCACTATAATTCTCACTGTAGTGAACAACCCTGACAAGGGAAGCCCCTGCCCAAGGTGTCTGCTGTGTGTGTTGACATTAGGTGCAAAACAAAGTTGCACAGAACTGATATTGTAAGCCAGGAAAATCATAATTAAGCTGGCTTCTAGACAACTCTGGGAGGCATGCCTGCACACAAATATTTTTAGAGTTTAACAGGTTTGTATTCTAACAAGTTCAGTAAGGAGGTATGCTATGGAGTGACCCGTTAAGAAAAGCCAACTTTAACTACTCAAAGTTTAAAGACATTTTTCTAAAATTAGGTCTGCCCATATTAATGTATATAATAAAAACACACATGGTTTAATGTAAAAATAAATGTCCAAGACTAGAGTTAGCTAGTTTTAAGTAAATGCATTACTTTATTTGTAAAACATGAAATTAATGTAATTCATATTTTTTAACTCTTAAAATGTCATTCTGAACGTAATTATATATGGCCTGATTTAAGCCAATAAATTATATAATTTGTTTTGTCATCACTTGTCTTCAACATTACAGTAAACAACGAATGTTAAATGGTAAATGTTAAACATTTTGAGAAAATTGTATGTTAACAGCGTTTTTTTGTGTTTACTCTGTTTCTTAAAAATTTTTATGATGCAAGTAAAAGAAAATCTAGCAATACTACATAGACATGGGTTTTCCATGTTTTTGCAGCAAAATATTATGTGATCATAACTGATGTGGAGCACAGCTGTCTCAGGCCTGAAGGCACTAAACAAACATTTTCATGTCTACTAGCCATTTTTAAACAAGCTAAAATAAAAATATTTTTTAATAGATCTATATACTGTCCTCGTTCAGCAAGCTTTGCAATGTATACCTTTGGAAAGGGAAAATATTTTGGCTAAGGTAAGACTGAATAATCCTTGAAACAATGCCCATTCAATCGGATTAACGAAACATACAGCCATCTGATGGATAGTGTTGTAAAAGAACAGAACTATTTATTGTTGGAAAAAACATCATTGACATTGCATAGCAATGTTTAGTAATAGCAAAGGCAGATCAATGCAGGACAGATGCAGTGGTACATGAGTAACACTACATAACACTTGGGAAAATATTCCAAAGAATATACCTCTATCAAGCCTTTAATCCTGGTCAGAAACGTGATCAGTTTTTTGTATATTGTGTTTGTTTTTTAAAATATTTATTTTACCTAAATATGGCATCAGTTTCTAAATGTAAATAACAGTCCCTTTGGTGAGCAGCCCATCGTCTCCTACAATACATAACTGCCATAAATGCTGCATTAAGGAAATCACCACACGCTTTCTGTCTTTAAGTATGATAACCAGATCACTTTCAACATTCTTAAACATCTCCTTCTCTGCCAGCTTCATCATCATCATCGTCGTCATCGTCAACTTCATCCTCATAGTCTTCATCGCCAGCATCTCCAGACTCCAAATCGTCATCTTCATCTTCCACCTGTGGTGATACAGAAACATTTATGAGGGAAACACCTTATGCAGATCCCAACTTACCTGCTAGAATGCACACAATGTATTAGGAGTCAAACAGACTCTTGTGTAGTAAGGTTGTAGCATTACCAGTACTTATGGGCTAAAACTAAATTTGTATTTTGCCTGGTTAGAACAGGAGATGTAGAAGTGTTGATGACTATGGACTAATGGGTTAAATTTATACCAGAGTCTGGTGTGGATTTATCCCAATGGAAAAAATGACACCACAATGCTAAATAAATCTAAATGATTACTTGCATGACACTGTATCAGTTGCAAATCTGTAGCTTTACTGCCTAAAGCCATATAGAACTATGGATGTGTCCACCACAGAATTGAAGGAACACTCCATTGGGATATAATCACTAACTAGTGGGTCATGGATAATGCAGTAGTTTGGTTCTAGGCTCTGTCCCTTAATACCTATCTGCATACATTAAGAAGTAATGTACAATGAACACATTGAACTTTGCCCACAAGATTTGTGAAGTAACTTACTGGATGTCCAAGTTCCTTGAGTTTTTTCTTTAGTTCAAGAATTTTCTGATCTTGATCAGCTAGAAGAACTAAGAGGTCGTCCTGCTCTTTCTTGGACTCTGCCACGTCTTGCTGCAGTTTCACTTTTTCATCTTGCAAAATCGCTGATGTACTCTTAGCTGTATCGAGCTGCTGCTTCAAAGAGGAATTTTCTTCAGATGCTGTTTTAAGTTCTCCCTGGAAAAAACAAGGCAGCCATATGTTACAAATAGTCATTTAAATATTACCCATTTTAAAAAAATACAGAAATTAAATCATTGACTACTCTTAATTGGAATTAATTTACCTTTACTTATGAAGTGAAATGACCTCCAAATGTTTCCATACAAAGAAATACTAAATAACACCCTGAAAAGGTCAACTTTCCACCATCAGAATTCTTTAGAATTTGCATTAGACTGGTGCATTCTGTTTATTATTATCGTATCCATTATTGTAATTCTAAAAATTGAGTTTAATCTGTTCATTATTGCTTTAAAGGGGCTCAAAAGTGATGGCTAAGGGGAAAAAGGCTCTGTCTATGGAGGATTCCACGATCTCCTCTATAGACACTAGTGTTGTAAACATAGAAACATAGAATGTGACGGCAGATAAGAACCATTCGGCCCATCTAGTCTGCCCAATTTTCTAAATACTTTCATTAGTGCCTAGCCTTATCTTATAGTTAGGATAGCCTTATGCCTATTATTATTATTATTATTGCAATTTATAAAGCGCACACAGATTCCGCAGCGCTGTACAATTAGTTGAGAAACGTACAATATACACAAACAAATACAAGAGGTAAGAGAGCCCTGCCCGTAAGCTGATATCTAGCCATTGGAGCTCTTAATACAAAGTGCTTAGCTAGATGGCCCTTGAGCTTACAATCTAAAGGATACCAGGGGGATTTGAGACAAAAGGTAGCAGGGGAAGCATCCCACACATGCTTTACTGTGTTAACCTCTACCACTTCAGCTGAAAGGCTATTCCATGCATCCACTACCCTCTCAGTAAAGTAATACTTCCTGATATTTTTTTAAAACCTTTGTCCCTCTAATTTAAGACTATGTCCTCTTGTTGTGGTAGTTTTTCTTCTTTTAAATATAGTCTCCTCCTTTACTGTGTTGATTCCCTTTATATATTTAAATGTTTCTATCATATCCCCCCTGTCTCGTCTTTCCTCCAAGCTATACATGTTAAGATCCTTTAACCTTTCCTGGTAAGTTTTATCCCGCAATCCATGAACCAGTTTAGTAGCCCTTCTCTGAACCCTCTCTAAGGTATCAATATCCTTCTGAAGATACGGTCTCCAGTACTGTGTACAATACTCCAAGTGAGGTCTCACCAGTGTTCTGTACAATGGCATGAGCACTTCCCTCTTTCTACTGCTAATACCTCTCCCTATACAACCAAGCATTCTGCTAGCATTTCCTGCTGCTCTATTACATTGTCTGCCTACCTTTAAGTCATCAGAAATAATCACCCCTAAATCCCTTTCCTCATATGTTGAGGTTAGGACTCTATCAAATATTCTGTACTCTGCCCTTGGGTTTTTACGTCCAAGATGCATTATCTTGCACTTATCCACATTAAATGTCAGTTGCCACAATTCTGACCATTTTTCTAGTTTACCTAAATCATTTGCCATTTGGCTTATCCCTCCTGGAACATCAACCCTGTTACATATCTTAGTATCATCAGCAAAAAGACATACCTTACCATCAAGACCTTCTGCAATATCACTAATAAAAATATTAAAGAGAATGGGTCCAAGTACAGATCCCTGAGGTACCCCACTGGTGACAAGTCCAAGCTTCGAATATATTCCATTAACTACAACCCTCTGTTGCCTGTCACTCAGCCACTGCCTTACCCATTCAACAATATTGCAATCCAAACTTAAAGATTGCAATTTATTGATAAGCCTTCTATGTGCAACAGTGTCAAAGGCCTTATTGAAATCTAGGTAAGTAATGTCTACTGCACCACCCTGATCTATAATTTTAGTTACCCAATCAAAAAAATCAATAAGATTAGTTTGGCATGATCTCCCTGAAGTAAATCCATGTTGTCTCTGATCCTGAAATCCATATGTTTTTAGATGTTCATCAATCCTATCCTTTAACATGGTTTCCATCACTTTCCCCACTAATGAAGTAAGGCTTACTGGCCTATAGTTGCCCGACTCCTCCCTATTACCTTTCTTGTAAATGGGCACAACATTCACTGTGAGGGTTTTTATTTGTGAAATTCCATAAGTAATATGCTACAATTAAAGGACCACTATAGTGCCAGGAAAACAAACTTGTTTTCCAGGCACTATGTAGTCCTTAGGTCCCCCCCACCCTCAGGGGCCACCTCCTGCCGGGCTGAAGGGGTTAAAACCCCTTCAGCCACTTACCTTTCAGCCACTTACAGAAACAAAATTATTGAGAAACAAAATTAAACTCCTTATTCCTCTGTTTAATTGTGTTTTTCATTATTTAACAACGTGAGTCATTCCAATTAGCAAATGAGTGCCTCTATGGTCAAATAAAGGGAAGGTTAACAATTAATAAAACAAACTAACTTTTCCCTTACATGAATTTTTGTTTTGCAAGAAATTTCCATTATTACTGACAAACTACCCCTGTAACCTTACACCTGCTGGCTAGCAATCATGATTTACACTTCAACCAAAGCTCATCCGCATCTCTGGTAGATCAGGCCAATCTCCAGTTGTGGCAGAAGTGTAACTCCAATTCTGCTCAAATAAAAAGCAGCGATGAATAGGTATGCGCCAATAGAAGATCAGCCTTTGGCTTTAAGGCTGATACCCATTTGTTGTTAAACTGCAACTCCCATTACTCGAGGGAGAATACAATCAAACTTCATACTGCGCAAAATATTAATCATCAAACGCTCAGGTTGCTTTGTGTAGTATTAATTTTGATTGCATGGAATTATACCCTACCTAACAACAAGTGATAAAGCATCACAGTCAGTGCATCACATTGTACTGTGTGGCAGGAAGAGGAGAAGAAGAGCTGGAGAAGACCGTTCTCTGCTCTCAACACTCAAGAAATAAAAGGAATAATATTGAAAAAAGTGCAGAAGTAAGCTTTAGAAGGAGAAAAAGAAAATGAAAGGGAAAGAGTGTCAAATGAATGTATTTTATATTTTTTGGTATAATTCAATATTCACTACATATTGTCTTATTTAAAGGACCACTATAGGCACCCAGACCACTTCAGCTCAATGAAGTGGTCTGGGTGCCAGGTCCCTCTAGTTTTAACCCTGCAGTTTCAGAGAAACTGCTATGTTTACACTGAGGGTTAATCCAGCATCTAGTGGCTGTCTCATTGACAGCCGCTAGAGTCCGCTTCCGCGATTCTCACTGTGAAAATCACAGTGAGAAGACACTGACGTCCATAGGAAAGCATTGAGAAATGCTTTCCTATGGACTGTTTGAATGCGCGCGGGGCTCTTGCCGCACATGCGCATTCGGCGCGGACGTCGGCAGGAGGGAGAGAGTTCCCCAGGCGCTGGAGAAAGGTAAGTGGCTGAAGGGGTTTTAACCCCTTCAGCCCAGCAGGAGGTGGCCCCTGAGGGTGGGGGGGACCTAAGGACTACATAGTGCCTGGAAAACTAGTTTGTTTTCCTGGCACTATAGTGGTCCTTTAAATAATTGTAGCATATTACTTATGGAATTGGTTGTAATCGCTAAATATTATTTAAATTGATGTGAATACAACAAGAAACTTATTTGCAATAAGAAATGTACAATTTCACAAATAAAAACCCTCACATTGAAAAAAAACAAAAAGGACAGCAGTAACACACCTTTAAAACTGTAATTTCCTGCAACAATGTAACTACTTTTTCTTCAAGTTCAGGATTTGTGGACGTAGACACTATATGGTCACCCGATCCAGTAAATGAGGTCTGTAAACAGAGGTATATGATCATTAAAGTACAAATATTAAGGAGTGGTAAAAAAAGGATTTTGCAAGAACTGAATTTAAAAGTCAATAAGAACACCTATTAGTACACAGGTGAGAATGTAGAGCGTTCTACCTTGCTTTCTATGTTTTGTAGGAGTTCTGTTCTTTCTGCTTGTAGTCTGTTGATCTCTGTTGACTGTACCTGCAATTGGGAACGTAATGCTTCCAGCTCCTGTGAAAGAAATAAGAAATTAATGGAGTTCCATCAGAAATATATTCTAATTATCGGGGGGAAAAAATTTAAAATCTATTAAAAAAAAGTTTAAAATAAATGTTATTTGATTGCTTTCTGACATTTTTAAATCGGTAAAAACAAAACAAAAACAATTACACCAATTCCAGGAAATGGATTTCAAACCAAGGGTAGTACTAACTTTAAGCTCTACACTGCTAATCTCCAAATCTGGTATATTCAAATCTTTTCACAGACAGTGTTTTTTTTTGTTTTTTTTCTTAGTACTCCCCATTGCCTCAGTAGTGATATGTCCATAGAAGGACTGCCCTGAGGATGCTCATGGGTATGCATAGTCCAGAGCAAGTGTTTTACAGTGACATTTTTACTGGTCTTTAAATATTTAATTACAATTAACAAAAGCAGCCCTCAGAAAGAGAAGACAGGTCATCCATAAATGATGAACAAAAAAAGAATCATACCTTTTTATGCCCTGCTGCTTGTTCAGAGACATCAGCTTGTTGCGCTGTTTGTGAATCAACTTGAGTCTGTTTCTGAAATTACATAAAAGGGTCAAATGAAGGACGTTAAATGTCCTATTCCCAGCAATTGTCCTACAGATCCAAGAGTTCTCACCAAGATAAAAAAAAAAAATATCTCACGGCTACGATTACCCCCATTAGGCATATAACGTAGATGCAATACATTGAACATAATAACAATAGAGATAATGGGGTAAAATTTTGTTGAGTATTAGGAGACTACGCTGTATGTTGGATAATGAAGAACAGCTGCATTCTGCCGTGTGTTTTTCCACCAATATAGCAAAACATTTATGAATTAAAACCACAGACAATTTTCTAAGTGGTACGACTTGGTTCCATCAATGTATGTGAAAATATTTTGTAACAAATGTTTGTTTGAACACTTGGTAAATAAATGTGATTTATACTCCAGTGCTTAGCACAAATGTTATGAAGCATCTGCATATTTCCAGTTATTGTTGGAATCAAGTATTAAGAATAACACAACACTTACCAAGTTCTCTATTAGAGCATCTTTCTCAGACAGCTCTCCTCGCAGCGATTCATGTTGTTTTCGCAATTCTTCAATTTCATCTTTTAAGCGAATGACCTCCTCGGCCTGGAATCCATTCATTTGTGCATTGCTGTTATGTGCGTTATGATGCTGGCTATCTTTACCTGTTAGACACAAGTACAGGAGTATAATGTGTATCAAAAGAGTTTGTTGTCTTGTAGGTCTGTACTTGAACCCTAACAGAGATATACTGCATTTATCTCCCGATACATGAAACTGTATCATTTTTTACATTTGCTGTAAAGAACTTGAAACTAAAATTTTAACTAAAAATTGTGGAACGTTTGTCATTGTTTATTGCCAGCTGTTCTTAATGTTATTTTATTATTATTGATATTTATTCAAATTTCTAGTAAAAATTGGTTCTTACCAATTATACATTAAAAGTTTGTAGAGTATTGATTCCAGCAGGTAACCAAATCTTTAGCAAATGTCTGTAAAGCACAGCTAATTATATACTGTTGGGCTCCATCATTCTGGTCTGATATCTATGCAACTTAATCATTCTATTTGCTACATTTACTATAATGGAATAAACAGCTTGTGGGTAATGTAGTAATAGGCACACATAAATAGATGTATATTGTACACGGCACTGATTCCAATGCACAGTGCACATGCCTTATAATATTATATACCTAGTTGTACTTTGAGAAGATTGTACTGGTCCTTGTGTTGCTGAATCTGGGCTTGCTGCTGTGATATTGTTGTCTGGTTTTGCTCGGTTTTAATTTGCAAAGCAGCAACAGATTGCTTCAGCTCTTCCAACTGAATATCCTAGGAACACAAAAAAACAAAAACAAAACAAAAAAAACTTAAATACCCATTCTGTTTTGCAGTGCATTTGTTTAACTTTATGTATAAAAAGAACATGTTTGTGCTGCCCAAGTGTTTAGGCAAGTATCTCTGCTGAAATGGAAACAGGTAAAGAATATTGGTGACAAAACTGTAACAAATGTACAATCTGAGCTGTAATAGAATTATTTGTGTCTGTTTATTCTAAAGGGTTAAGTCACTATATATATTTATATATAGTATGTATATGTACTGACCAAAACCCTGTGGGAAGGCAGACCCAGAATTTGCCCATTAACTGTGATTTAAGTTTTCGTGTCTACATACTGTATCAATCTTTATACACATTTTGTTGGTCTTTGTGCTCAATGTATTTATATCTACGAGATTGTTTTCCTTGTATTTTGGATAGTGATAGCAGCATAGAATGCTCAAGAAACACAAACGTTTTATTTTATTATGATTATTAGTTTCATTGTAATAGACAGTGTTTTACTCATTCTTAGCTTGCTATCCATTCCCTTAAGCCAGGTGTCCTGGTCACTTTCCACAGGCTGGCAATTATTGACTTGGTGGCCGTAAGCATAAAATACAGCAATGAGTTCTTGAATTTGGTCTTTTCCCTGCCCAAATGAACCTCGTGAACAAAGATTGAATGGTTTAAAAAAAATGTCTGGGGAGATGTATTGGTATGGTGTACAAAAGATACAGAATGCGAGGGAATTACATTCATCGATATAGCATTGGCCCATCCATCGGAGATTGGGCTTATCCCACACCTGCAGGTCTGCCTGTATGGCGGTCAGCAAACGTGGAAAGTTCAGTGTATATAGAGCGCTAGGATTTGCCGGGATGTTAACTCCCAGGTACTAGATTGATTTTGGGGCCCACTGAAACTGATATTCTCTTTGTAGTCGCTTCCCCATGTTGTACCGTGAGGTTGAGTATTTCACATTTATCTGTGTTAATTTTAACGTTAGCCATTGAGCTGTATTTGGTCATTTTGTCTACCAATTGTGGGAGGGTGGTACTTGGATTAATATATATTAATAGTAATATATTAAAATCTGATGTTTTATTCTCCTAGAAGTCTTGTGTGATAGAGGTCGAAAGAACTTGATGAACTCTGGAATTTTGTAGCTGATAGGGGTTAAGTTTCCATTGATATTTTGTAGCTGGTATGGGGTATGGGGATTGCAATAGTTAGTGGTCGAAGCAGACAATATTACCTATATTAGTATCGCTAATTTTAATGAAAGGTCCTTGTGTGGTACCAGAAAATAGTCTAATCTTGTGTAAGTCTTCTTTGGGGTCGAGTAGAAGGTGAAATCTTTGGTGGTTGGGCTCTGGATTTTCCAGCAGTCAACTAGTTGACTACCATGTAGTACGCTACGCATCTGGGCCCTAGCCAATGCGAGATGGGAGGGATTTGTAGCAGTGCTGTCTCTCTGGGCATCCAGGGAGATATTATAGTCATAAAGTCACCCCCTATTTTTAGGGAGAACATTTTTATTGGGGAGATAAATATTTTGCAAGGTGACAGGAGATGTTCCCACTAGCCCCTTAAGAATACTGTCCCTCCCTGAAGTGTCCGAAACCTGGTGTTGGTACGTGAATGGGACTCTTGAGCTTACCATTATGGCCACTCCTCGTGATTTACTCAAATGGAAATTATGTTAAATATTTTTATCTCGATTGTTTACATTTGGGTAAATAAAAAAAATAAAAAATGTAAAATAATAGGCAAGTTGAGGTAAAAACAAACTGTAGCAATTATTGTGCACTGGAGCTATGTGAGCAGTCCCTCAGTCTTATGTCAAACCGCTTCCTATTCAATTTTCTAAAAACTGGATGCATTTCCCTTACCGCAAACATGCCACTTAATTTAAATGTAAGTTCCTTATGATTGGCACAGGATAACACATTCACAAAATAAACAAACAAATTTAAAAAAACACTGTGTAATTCAAAACAAAAAACACACAACATAAAACATAAAAGGCATCATATAGTGGCCAGCTAACTATAAAATTTATACCTGTTCCCGGATGACATTTTTGTAATGAGATATAATGTTGTCATGTTGCTCAAGAGATTTCTTTACTTCTTCTTCTTTTTTGTCTTCTTCGCTGGATTTGTAGATGGCTTTTGTAATAGCAACTATAAAGAAGAAGAAAAAAAACACAAATTGCTAAGAAACCAATAAACAGCTAAAACAAACACTGCATCTGTTATTTACAAACACCTGGACTGTTCTTGTTGTATTGTCAAACAGTGATTAACATTAAAATATATATATATATATATATATATATATATATATATATACACATACACACACACACACACACACACACACACACACAGCACTTGACCCAAATGTCCTAAAGAAAAACATTCCATTCATTTAAGTGCAAGAAAAACGTGGGTACCCACATCTTTTGTGCAGGAAATAACATTGTATAAATTAAGGTGGTCAGAAAAAAAATCTTTGAATTCTCAAATGACGCGCATACATTGTTTAGCTCCTGCTTCCTTCGATGATGATTATTATCACATCTTAGCGGTTTAAAGGTTCTCCATGGGTACTATTCAAAATGATGCAGTCATTGTATGTTATTTAAAAAAAAACATAAAACTCATACAAGCTTGTGTAGTCTCTTCCCACCTAAGTGTACACCACAGCAAACAGCACACGTGTATACAATAAAATACAAATATCAGGAAAAGGTGGTCAGAGTAAAACCCCAATCTTTGAAATCTCAAATGCATCCTTTTGAATAGAACCCATCCAGATCCTTTAAAGAACTAAGATCCAGGGAAGCAGGAGCAAAACACTTCAGTACACAATTCAGTACACAATTATGTCCTTTGAGATTTGAGAGATTTTATTCTGACCACCTTTACCTGGTATTTATACTATGTTATTTGATGCACAGAAGATGTGGACCTTATAGTATGGCTATTTGAAACAGTGACTGTTCTTACTGTGCTGATTAGTAAAGGCAGTAGAAGGAGTACAATAGTAGTTTCAAAGATGACACAGGATTCACTTAAAATAAGAATACACATCATAGTTTCATGCTGCAAAGCCCCACTGAAATATACTTTTCATTAGGTACACATTGGGGCACATCTCTGTGATTCAATAAAAAAAAAAAAGTGTGCTCTCTTGTAACTGAGCATCACAGGCTTCTGTACATTTGGCACCCATGGTGTCCATATCTGACAATTTCCAACTTTCGCCTGCAATTTTGGAGAAGAAGAAAGCAATTTTCATCTACGTTTACCTTTTAATCAGCAAATTTACTCTCAATTTGGCCTGAATAATATATAGACAGTAAGAATGCCAACCTACAAGTATCCTGATATTTCACATTTTGTGGCTGACAAGGCTCACTGTTGCAGAAATTACATTGTTAATTAGAATATGGAGTCGACAGAAAATGTGTATTCTGGCTAGCTCCTGCAGGCATCACATTTGTTAAGAAATATGAAGGAAGAACAAACTTTAAAGGGACACTATAGTCAACAAAACAACTTTAGCTTAATGAGGCAGTCTTGGTGTATTGATCATGCCTCTGCAGTCTCACTGCTCAAATCTCTGTCATTTAGGAGTTAAATCATTTTGTTTATACAGCCCTAGGGACACCTCCCTTCATGTGACTTGCACAGCCTTCCAAACACTGCCTGCAGAGAGTCATCTAATGTTTACACTTCCTGTATTAAAAATAAGGTTTATTTTAGAATTTCATATCTCCTGCACTGTTAATAGCTTATTAGACCTCACATGAGTCTCCTGTATATAACTGAAGTTCAATATACAGAGCAGGAGATAAAAACTTTTAGAGTAAGTTACATCTGATTGAAAGTGAAACCATTTCGTTTCATACAGGCTGTGTGAGTCACAGTCAGAGGTGGTGTTGCTGGGGTTGCATAAACAGAAACAAGAGTGATTTAACTCCTAAAGGGAACATAATTGAGCAGTGAGACTGCAGAGGCACCAAAGCTGCTTCATTAAGCTAAAGTTGTTTTGGAGACTATAGTGTCCCTTTAAGTATATGCTTTTACACTGAAACTGTGAATCAAAACAGAATTTTAGTCCTTTTAAAAATAGTTACTGCACAGAGTACCAAAAATAATTGGACATTTTGCTGATCAGATAGTTATTGGCCAAATATTTTTTGCAGCATTGGTAATTTTAATACAAGAAAAAATAAATGATCTAGAGGCTGCACATACAGAAAGATCATGCAGTACAACACAGAATGCTAAGAACCAATAAGTGAACAGTGCTGTCTATATGAGTACACACAGATTCAGCAAGTGAAAGACGCCGACTTTATTAGTGTTTGCACACTTGCACTGTCAAAGTTCTTTTACACTTGAATTAGGAAACTACTTCCTTAAATGATGTGAGTGGGAAGGATATGCTGTCTGGGCTTCAAAGATTGAATGGAAAAATAAACACGTTTGCTAGGGTAGATTTCTAGTTCTATAACCAATTCCAATATCCTCTGGGTAAGTATCATCAATTGTGATAATAAGAAAGTTAACAAGTTGCCAATCCCTACTATAAGAGAGCACTCTGCATGCGACAGTAAGGTGACCCTGTTGGAATATTAGTGTGCATGCAACTTCATTATCAAATATTATGAAAGCCTCACCCTCTAGCTCCTTAATCAGCTTGGTAAACTCATGATCAAACATCATGTGGTCAGGACTGGAAAAAATTGGCTGGGGTTTCTGGGCTGCCTTCGAGTAATATTCGTGCTTGGTTATGAAGCCAAGTTTTTCTGTAAAATTTTCTTTGCCAATCCTCTTCTCTATTAGTTGTTTCAATTTTTCTCTGAAAAGACAGATTTTTCCACCAGTTTAGCTCTTTGTTTGTGAATATTGTAGCAACACATAATATTAATAACTAAAAAAAAATAAAAAAAAGACAAAAAAAACACCTTTCTCACAGCTGCAGTGGGTGGTTAGATAATGGAAAAGTTGATCTGTAGGGTGTTCTTTACCTGCAAGATCTCTTTACTATAATTGTAAAGCTGCGGAATATGTTGGTGCTACATAAATTATAAGTTCTCTCCGAGTGGAGTTTTGGTCTATGTCACATTGTTCAAATATTTTGTATGATTTTCTTTCCTGGTATTATACCTATCAAACTGCTATGCTGTTTATTGCACGTTTACATTTACTGCATTCTACTGTGTATGTTTCATTTCATTTTGTCAGTAAAACTTCAAATGATAAAAAGCACAGTCTAAGGCAACTTTCTAAAGATGGAGCAATCACCATGGAAATCATGCGGATTGCTCCAATGTAAGAATTGATGTCATAATACTGCACGACCCCAACCAGCTTTACTAAGCAATGTACATAAAAAGTACACCTGATATAAACAAAGTGCTTACAGACTTAATAATTCATCATATAGTGTACTGAAACAAGCAGAGCAGTGCAATGCAAAAGTGAACACAGAGTAAGAAAACAAACATTGTACTAAAAATGCAAGGATAGACATTAAAGACTATATAAAAAATATAAAGTGATCGGCGTGAAAAAAGGCAATTCACAGTATATAATTACGCTACTCCGCTCAAGTGGGAATCTCCCTCACCCACCTCAAAGCATGCACAGAAGAAAGCGGAAGAAAGCTAGACAGCCACCAACCTCTAGAGTGGAGTGTGAGTGTTCTAATATGAACACCTACCCTAAATGGGAACACAGGAGCCTCTAATGAAAACTGGGAAAGAAAAGACTATAACGTGTAAAAAAAAATCTAACACTATAGTAGGAATAAGGTGTAACTGGTAAAACTCATATGGATATGAGCCTCAAAAAGACAGGCTTAAATCATATGTGCCGTGGTGTACTCAGGTGACTCAATTCCCTAGTTGTTCTGATTCTCTGGATAGTAGTCTCAAAGAAAAGCAGAGAAGAGGGAGGTACAAGCTCCTAGAGAAGTATATCCAAGCATACACTGCAGATCATATAACCAATAAAGAACTGCTCACCTTGGCTAGAGCACACAAGACCTAGCTCTAGGTGTTAATGCCAAGAGCCTATAAGGGGACACATCTCTTCTATGAAGCAGATGGTTTGGTATAGCTTAATGGACAGCAAAAAATATTAAATATAACTTGTTAAAACCATATAAGCAAAGTGCTGACAATTAGGTCCAAATTAATAAATCCTCAAACCTTGTTTCTCCCGATAACGGGTGGTATGTGAGTATGACCAGTTAACACCTTATTACTACTATAGTGTTAGATGTTTTTACACTATATAGTTTTTTTCTTTTCCAATTTTCATTAGAGGCTCCTGTGTTCCCATTCGGGGTAGGTGTTCAAATTTGAACCACTCACACTCCAATCTAGAGGTTGGTGGCCGTCTAGTTTCCTTCCACTTTCTTTTGTGCATTAAAGTCTATAAAACATTACACACTTGTATCCCCAAACATCTTACCTGGTTGTGTTTTCAAGTGAATTATCATTGTAGTAAATGCAGATGCCCAGCAGCAATGCGCAGAGACCTTGAACAAGCTGTTCTTCTTCTCCCAAATTTTCAGAAATCTGTCCTGTAAGCTGAAGTAGTCACTAAGGAAGCAAGCTGTTGAGTCAGATAGAAATGCGTTTTTATACTTTAATTCAACTTTTGTTTTACATAGCAAGATCCAAGTATGTATAAAATACAGACTTCTTCCAGGAATTATTCAGCTTTACAAAATAAGTGTATAGGTTTACAGATAACAGAAAAAGAGATAGTGCGTAGGCGCTTCACTGAAATTGTGACAGTTCTGTATATGGTGAAAATATACAATAAATGGTGTAACCGGTACCCTAGTGCTTCCCTTGTGCACCAGATTTACATAATACAATAAAAAGAAACAAATACCAGTATATACACCTCCCCAATGTGATCACAACAAAAAATGAGTAATATTACCAATATAGAACTCAACTGTAATGTAAACAGCGTAGAACTTGATTGGGGTATAAACTAAAATAGAAAAAAATAAAACAACAACATAGTGCAAACTGTATGATGATAAATGAGTAATAGATAAGTGTATGACTCTCACTCACATTCTCCAGAGCCGTGCCAGGCTCTGTAAGACAGGCTCAGGGGTGCCAATAACTGGCTAACGATCCAGGTGATCCAAATAGATGAGACTCCAAAAATTAAATGCAAAATATATTTATTGAATAAAAATATATAAAAGTGTATACACTACTGGGCGCTATGGGGGTGGAACCCAAAACAGACAATGATATATATAAAGCAAAATTGGAATTCCACTTACCCCTATCTGTATAGTAGCCCAGAGTGTCAAAAATACACATAAAATAGCAAATAACAAATGCAGAAGATTGGGTTCCACCCCCATAGCGCCCAGTAGTGTATACACTTTTATATATTTTTATTCAATAAATATATTTTGCATTTAATTTTTGGAGTCTCATCTATTTGGATCACCTGGATCGTTAGCCAGTTATTGGCACCCCTGAGCCTGTCTTACAGAGCCTGGAACGGCTCTGGAGAATGTGAGTGAGAGTCATACACCTATCTATTACTCATTTATCATCATACAGTTTGCACTATGTTGTTGTTTTATTTTTTTCTATTTTAGTTTATACCCCAATCAAGTTCTACGCTGTTTACATTACAGTCGAGTTCTATATTGGTAATATTACTCATTTTTTGTTGTGATCACATTGGGGAGGTGTATATACCGGTATTTGTTTCTTTTTATTGTAATAGGTTTACAGATAACCATATTTTGTTTTCTTGCACAAATCAAGCAATCTTACAACCCTGTCATAAGTCAGCTTGCAATGTAAAAGTCTACTTGATGTACACTGATCAGCCACATTAAAAGCACCTGCCTAATAAAGTGTAGGTCCCCCTTGTGCTTGCAAAACAGCTCTGATGCATCAATGCATGGATTCCTCAATACATCTGAATGTGTTCTGTGGTATCTGGCACCAAGACACTACCAGCAAGTTTTGCAAGTTGCGAGGAAGGGCCTCTATGGATTGGGTAAGTTGTTCCAGCACATCCTACAGATGCTCAATCAAGAATTTGGAGTTCAAGGTAACACCTTGAACTCTTTGTCATGTTCCTCAAACCATTCATGAAAAATTCTAGCAATGGAGCTGGTTGAGTTATCCTGCTGAAAAAGTCCACTCATATCAGTAATCACCATAGTATGAAGGCTTATGCAACAATCTGTAGAAGGGTGGAATGTGTCCATTCATATGAATGCCAGGATCCAAGCTTTCCCAGCAGAACATTGCCCAGAAGATAACACTGCATCCGCCGAACTATCTTCTTCCCATAGTGCCTCCTGCTGCCAACAACGGTAAACGAAACACACGCACCTGGCCATTCACCTAATCAAAAAGAAAACCTGATTCATCAGACCAGGCAACCATCTTCCTACAAGGTTCAGTTCTGACGCTCACATCACCATTGTAGGCACTTTTGATAGTGGACAGGGGTCATCATGGGCCCTCTGACCGGTCGGCGGCTATGCCCCATATGCAGCAAACTGTGATACACTATGTGTTCTGACAACTTTCTATCATGATCAGCATTAAGTTTTTCAGCAATTTAAGCAGCTCTACTGTGTGATCAGACCAGACGGTCTAGTCTTTGCTCCCCGCATGCATGAATGCGTCTTGGGCACCCATGACTGACGCCAATTCACTTGTTGTCCTTACAATAATTATGGTAGGAACTCCCCACAAGACTTGCCGTTTTGGAGATACCAGTCATCTAGCCATCACTATTTGGCCCATGTCCAAGTCACTCAGAACTTTCTGCTTTCCCATATTTCATTTCCTGCTTCCGACACATGAAATTCAAGAACTGAATGTTCACTTACTGCCTAACACATCCCACCACTTGACAGATGCCATTGTAATGATATAATCAATATTATTCACTTCACCTGTCTATATGACCATTGAAAAAATGCCAAAGAATATGCTATGGGGATATAAAAAGAAATGGCATTACCTTCATGTGTATATCTTATATTATCGTCAAGAGGGGTTGTGCTCTGTCTTCTACTATTTTTGCATAAAAAGTGAACATTTTCAAAGGTAAAACATCCTTACCTTCCCAATACATTGAGCATATGTTGGGGATGCAACACTCACTCAGACAGTTTTGCTCACATATTTTGGGACTGCTTTACATTTAGAAATTTATTCAAGCAGTTACAAGCTTTGACCCACTACTCCATTTAGAATGCTTCCTACTATAATAAGCACTGGAAATCATCAACCTCACATCCAACTGGTGTTGGAAGCCATAAAAAAAAACAAAAAAAAACTATTAAACAATCTCTCCAAATTCCAAACAAGCTTGGGAAATTCTGGACACAGCTAAATTAGAAGTAAACCAAATTTCTACTTAGCACACTGGATCTGCCTTCGCCATCTCACTTTTCTCCTACATGTGCACCCGATCTTCAACATCCCTTTCTATCTCATCAGTCCCCATCTTCCTTTTTATGCTTTTGGTTTCATAACAAGTTTTGCTCTGTTACGATGTTTTGATATCAATCCAACACAAAATTCGTATGTATATAAACACTAAAAATTAAATAAATACAATAAGTAACCATGACCTTACAATGCATAGGCACATTGGCGGGCTGTAAACGTTAGTCAAAAATATACAAGGGTCTTTGATTGTTCCCTATCTGGTCATTATGCCTCTCCAGCCCTCTACACATGGGTTAGCTAACCTTGCGGAGGTTATTTAACACATTAAGGAGCTTAATACCTGTAGTTGGTTTTTGGAACCGTGTATGCTATGTAAGCAAGTTTAGGTCCAATTACCTTATTTAATCTTTTATATTAACTTCTAAAGAAACTCCGTAAGCTACTTTATCATGGGTAGACTCTTTCCTCCTGTGGGTATTTTTTGTTATCAGTGTGAGTGCTTGTATGAACGTGCAATAGTACCCGATTTTTACGAATAATAAAAATTCAATTTTAACGCACTATCTCCCTTTCTTTTTCTTTGAACCTTATACTTTGAACCTTGTACTTTATAGGTTTGAGGGTTAGTTGTTTTGAGTATCCGCAACAGACAGATTTTGGCTGTTTTTGCCTACATTTAGTTCTTACATATTGTTAATTTTTTTATTCTTACGTTTCCCTTATATCTATCTCCTGGACAGAACACGTTGATAGTAAAAGGATACAAAGGGCACGTTGTCTGCATTGTGAAGAAAGTGTGTCACAGCGATGGGACAGTTGGTCAACCAGGTACAAAGCAACATTAATAGTCCAACTCTTGTCTGTACTTTGCTCCCCTAAAATGTATGGAAAAACACAAGAAAATTAATACATGTAGTAGATATTTGCTCTTGTGGTAGATAAGCAAATTGATTCCTTCCCAGACACTATGTAATTTTAGCATTAGCTGTAATATCTATTTTGGCAAGCTCTAATTGGGGAACAGAGTGATGGCTATTCGGCCTGATAGGTGTTCCATGTCTAATTATCTATTGTATTAATAAGCCTTGGAGTATCAGGGGAGGTTACATGTCTGAAGTCAGGAACCTGGGGTATCGGTTAATGCTCTATGTCAAAGCACGTTCAAATATCTATATGTGTTCGAGTAAGTGCCGTTTAGTGAAACCTGAATTTTTTTTTCAAAGATGCGTCTTTCTTCTCAGTCTTCAAGAACCGTATCAAATAGACTTCTCTACTAATATACTAAAAGTAGGATTCCTAGCTGATAAGTTTTTGATTAACATCATTGTTCAGTAAAGTTGGAATTGTCAGGAATTCAAAGAAAATTTTAAAATTTTAGATTTTAGTAGCTCACATTTTCCACTTCAGCTATTTTGGATTTAAAGGACTTTTGGACAAACCGGTCATGGCAGACATAGGTTTACAGCAGGAGAAATGGGATTCCCCGTTAACAGACATGCAGAGCGCAGTCTTCTTATCCCTGTGCTGATTGATGCAGGTTCGGCATAAACTTAATGGACTTAGAGGGGGGGGGTTAAAGGGCTGTTTTATCAACTCTGATTTTAGCGAATTCTAGACATTTGCTAGCAATTCTGCTAACACAATGTGCAGATGAAATATGATTCTCCATCCTGTAAGATTAATTTGTATATGTCATTAAAGGTATCCTTTCAAATTTATAAAAATCATTTTGAATTCCTAACAATTCTCACTTTAGTAAATACGCCTGAAAGTATACTCATAAACAAATGAAAACCCCAAACTCACCCAAAAGGATATAACACTGCGGGACACGTTTCAATGTTGTAGACATTTTGCCTACGTTTGTTTAGATCACAGCAAACCATTTTATTACACACAGAACAACATATCCTGTCAGGCAAAAATTAACAAAAAACATCAAATGGGTGCTTTAGAATTTTCTCTGCTGTCTGCCATGAATGTGCCTGTGGAAGAGGCTTTTGGACCTGATCTGCAGATTAGTGTTGTGGTCTTGTGCTTTCCACTATGAAATGTGTTACTATCATTATTAGCATGCCAGTTTTAGAGCTACCAGTCAGTAAGTCCAATGTATATAACCTACATAACCTAAGCAATCACACAACAAAGTAACACACAATTCACACGAATCTTGCATTCATAATCCAGAATAAAACCTTAAAAAAGAGATAGCAAAGTTATGGATCCCCAAGAAGTTAGCTGTTAACGCATTCTGACACACATCTCACAGCACATGCCTAGAAGATCAACGCAGAACACATGCCATCTGAACTCGTGCAACAAACCAACATTATAATATTCAACACACAATTTCTCCAAAATATTTATAATTGCTGATCATCATTTAATTTTCTTTTTTTTTTTTACTTGAAATCAGATATAAGGGATCATATTTTGGGCTTTCCCATCACTCTCAAACAAGGAATATATTTGCTATGAAAAATGCTAATTTAAATCACTATTAGGAAAATAAATACAAGCAATAAAAAAGAAAAAAATTAAGTATGAGGATGTAAAGTCGAGAGCAAGGATCTGCCGCATATGGTGTTATGCTTACATGCAGATTCAAACATAGAAAATATTTTATGATATACATGAAAATTGTATCTTGTAATGTTACAGAAGGTTAAAGAGGACCTGTCCCAAGTGATATTTTTGATTTTTGCATAAGCTGTTAGCAAAGTTAGTTAGGTATGGGTTATGCGATTTATATCTTTAAAATCCCCCCATGCTGAAATCAGCAAGGGAACCCCCACCATTTGCTGAAATCAGCAAGAAAACCTCCTATTTCCTGCTTAAAAAAGCAAGGGAACCCCCCTGCCCTGCTGAAAAAAGCAAGGGAACCCCCCATGCTGAAATCAGCAAGGGAACCCCACCATTTGCTGAAATCAGCAAGAAAACCTATTTCCTGCTGAAAAAAAGCAAAGGAACCCCCCACCCCCTTGCTGAAATCAACAACAAGGAAACCCCACCCCTGCCGAAATCAGCAGAGGTTATTACTCTAACACTACTGCTAGGGTTAGGGTTGATACGTTGTAAAGGTTAAAGGTATATAGGGGTATTGGTCTGCTCGGGAGAAGTTCCCGAGTACAATTTACGGAATTTTAAATACTTTATATCTCATTTGAAAACTAAGCAGCAAAAATACCATGTGTACATAAAATAAAAGATAACTCCACAAACTTTAAAGTAAAAAAAAAAAAAAAAATGGCACCTCAATAAATCTCAAAATATATAATGTGAGAGTTAGCTACTAAAAGGCCTTAAAATGCACCATAGACTAATCTTCAATTAAAAAAAAAAATAAAATAGTTCAGTCCTGCATTTTCATAAAAACTTGACAAGGGTATGTAAAGGGGTTCATTCTGTATTCAAAAGATGTAGTAGATGTGCAATATATGTATATATATCTATATAGAGAGAGATATAGAGATAAATATACACACTATAATTATATATAATTATATAGAACCTCTGAAGTAGTTTGAAGACCACTTCAAAACAATTAACCACAAACAGGCCAAGCAACTAACCAGTCAAGTTGTTACGGTAACTTGCAATCTAATTCTGAGCTGCATAGTCTAGTTACTAAAACTAGGCAAGGAAACATTTGTGAAATTATTTTATATAAATTAACGTATTCTAAAACTTGACAAAGCTTGAGATGATTTTGTGGAGGTATTCCAGAATTGTTCCAGCCTACTTCTGGTCTTACGGAAATATGCAAAACCAAACATAAAGGCAAAGGGAAAATGAAGGGGCACCTTGCTTACACCAACAGACCAAATGGAGTGGAAGAATGAGAGTGGAAGTCCCTACAGGAAAGAGCTATTAAATGAACACTTGAATGAGCAAAGTTACAGGTAACATGGGATTTACAAATAGGAACATACAAAAATGGGGAATGAATAGGAAATAAACAAGAAATATTAAACATCATAGACAGAAAAAAGGAAAACATCACAAGGGAGTAAAGAATAGTAGAAATAAACAAAGGAGCTGAAGACACAGGTAACACTGGAAGGGGGATAGTGATGAAGACGGAATTTAAAGACGAGCAGGAATGTTTAAGACAAGGAGAAGACTTGAGTAATAGCCAATGAAATCATTTTTTTTATAAATTAAACCATAAAACTAGTGAAGTGATGGCTAATTTAAAGATGCAGTTCGATTAGTTAAATGTACATGTTAAGACCATTTACTGAATGTGGTAATGTTTTGCAACATTTGACAAAAATAAAATCAAATAAAATCATGCTCTTTGAAATTAGATATAAATGCCATAAACCTATTTGACTTAGAATGCATCTTTAAACCAGAAAAAGCAAGGTTTTACACATGAAATATAAACCATTACTAAATAAATTTGGAACAAAGACCTGTTTGAGGAGACAAAGAATTGTCATGCTGCTCCCGAGAAGCAACAAGCACCAGTGATGAAGCCCTGCTCCCTGGGGTCTGTTAAATGAGTAGGCACTTTATTCATAAGCAGAGGAGATGGAACTTTAGGACTTTCTATACTCGAAGACTCAAATAAACATTGTGACAGGAGACACAATGATTTTTCACTATATTGTTGTACCAGAGAGTAATTTTTGTTAACACTACTACTACTTATGAAGTTGCAGAGGGCTAAGTTTCAGGCAACAGGCCCAAGAGATGACACCATGGAAGGAAAGGAGAGATGAGAGGGATGTAAGGGTCAGAAAGGTACTGCTTAATAAAGAGAAAGGGTTCACCACCGCAGCAAAGTAACATGTGTGAGTAGAATCACTTCAAAGCCGTTATTTAACAAAGACCCACATCAACAGAAGCAAAAAATAAACAGGACCAGCAGTGGCGGGAAGTTGTGCCAATGTATACATACCCGTCTGTTGATCTTATCCCCCTGCAAATTATATATTATAAATGTAATAACTGTTAATAACTGGTAAATTGTTCATCCATTCCTGTACAACCATTGCATTGATGAGCTTTTAGGTCCCCTGTGGCCAAAAAGCATAATGAGGAACATGGCACATTGCTCTTCCGATCAAATGTTTATGTCAGCCATCAGTGTTGATAGAAGATGTTCTATAATTATTTTTTTAATGTTATTTATAAAGCAACAATATGTTCTGACATGACTAACAATTTTAAAGTGGGGGTATGAAAATAAAATTGGGAAACAAATGAAACATAAATAAGAGATGTAGAGGGCCGTGCTTGAATGAGCCTGAAATATAGATCAGAGTCAACAAGCCAATTACTGCATCTTAGCTTTACCTCCTAATGTAAATGCAAAGAAAATAAAGCTGGCGTAAAACAGATGTAAACCCAGACATCACTTATTTAAAAAGCATAAAAAACTAAAAAAGGGTGACACTAATATCTACATGTATATCAGTGTGTGAAAAAATATAAAGCAGCAACCAATGAGAGTTACATCACCCAAAACACTAATTAAAAAAAAAATCTATAATTAGTGCGCTAAACAAATATGCTTACATAATTATTATACACTCTTTTTATTAAGGAAAAAAATCAAAGTGTAATACTTTAACAATTTAGTAGGTTTTACAAATCTCCTCTGAAAGAAACTCACAAATATAGAGTGATACAATGCATTGTGATAATAAATAAAAGATGTATACTGAAAGATTGCTTATTTATGGGGGCAGTGCATCAATATCCATAAATCATATGGACAATGTACAATGTCTCCAAGTTACAAAACTTGTAAACCTCACCAAAAACACACAGAAGTGCTAGATCCTACAAGGACAACTTACTCCTTTAGGGGCAGCATATAAACACATAAAGATAAAAACAAATAATAGTGCAATACTGTATATAATGGCTGTAGATTATTATTATTATTATTTATAAAGCGGCAACAAATACCGAAGCACTGTACATAAAGAAGGTGAGTAGTGAACACTCACATTTGGATGAGCCTTTTCTATGAATGGGCTAAATATGTAAGCTTCTGTGCCTTTTACGGCGGCAAAACTATCTTCTTTTACAGAGATGTGGTGAATATCTTTTAATAGTGGTTACAGGAAAGATATTTACAAAATTTCTGCAAAAGAAGATCATGTTTCTAGTACATCAACAGCATCTAACTCTTGAAGAGCCACCAAGTAAGTAGCTATATGATTCCTATTTGTTTTAAAGATAATTTCCAGCTAGCCATTTTAGAAACTTGGACAGCACACTTTTGAGTTTGAAGGACAATAGTTTGCGTTATTTAAGATTATCGTACATCTTTGCGTCACCCAGCCTCTAGATATATTACCTGTGAAAGAATGTTGGTGCACTGCTGCAGTAAGGAAACTGGTGGGTTACCAATACTTGTGGCAAGTTGCACTCTGAGCAATTGTTCTTTCTGAGTTGAGTTTTCTAGCAAAGCGTGAGCGAGAGCCACTGCTGCACACCAGTTGGAAAGAGAGTCTGTAGAAAAGAGTCCTCCACATAGCAACTGTCCAGCTGATAACGAAGTGGCTAAAGAAAGGAATGGAAAATGTAAGTGACAATTTAAATAAACAGCGATTTCTCATTATTTCCAAACTTTTTATGGATATGTTCTCAACACTAGTCTTCACCAATTGCCCAAAGTTTTATGGACTTCTCTTGGAAGCAGAGTAAATGTCTTTAGTTTGCTGCTTTAGTGCTAAGGCAGTAGTTTCAAATCAGACCTTAACAATTGTGTCCCTGGTTTTATCAATATCCCCATTGGAGCAGAATGGAACGATTTGAGAGTTTACAATATAGGACAGAAAGCCTTACAATATATACAAGGTGATATCCCTATTCTGAACAAAGGTCTAAAGTGGTGGCCATCATGCTGAATGCCAAGAAAATGAGTACTCTTACAAGTAAACATTCAATATGTGCTGCAGAAACTCTACACTGTCTTAAAAACAAACAAAAAAAACACACACCTCTTAGAAGCAACCCCCTTTAAAACCAACTCAATTCCTTTACTGGTCTCTCTTTGTCCACATCAGCTGAGCACATCATAATTCCCTGCTCCACATTGTAACCATCGTACTGACCATTTACTAGCACCTCAAATACAAGTTCACCAACTCCGTTTCTAATTGATTATGCAGTTCCACGTGTCATGTGATAACTTAATAATATAACTTGGTTCTATCTACCAGTAATGATTATAGGAATTATTTACAGCCTCATTTCCCCTGAACCCTAAAACAGTATTACCACTTATTCTTGGTACAAAGCACTCAGGCAAAGTACAATATTTAGGAATTGCTAAATTCATACATATCAACAACATATTTGGCATGCATTAACAGGTTTTTAATGTATTAATAATGGCCATAAAGGACGATATAATAAATACCTACAATGTAAATTTCACATTTTAGGCAGCAATAGTAAAAAATCTGAACGTTCTCCAAGTGAGCTATATTTTCAAGCTAATATTTAACTCTACTTTGAATTCCTGACAATTTATGAATAACCCTGCTAGTGAATAATGAGTGTGGAAATAAGACAACTGTTTAAAGGATTGTAAAACATTACCATCAATAGTTGAGGGAAGCAATGTTGACACAATTTCTCCTTGTCCTTTCTGATTCTTGTACAGGAAGCACTGGAAGCAGTACAGAACAGCACATCTTAAGACAAACGGCTGCCTTTCATTCACCATGGACATCAAAAGCACTACAATTGCAGGCCTTCATAAAAAAAGTACACAGGAATAAAAAGCACAAATTATGAACGGTGAGGCATTTTTTTTGTTTGTTTGTTTGTTTTCTACAAAAAGCAAATGTGCATTCTTGCACAGGATTAGTAGATGATATTTGTTTAATTGCTGTAATAAAAGTAGGATTTATTTATAGAGTTTATGTAGCTAATGAGATGTAGCAAATAGGACAGTAAGAAAAAAACAGTGCAAAATAAATTAGACTACACTACAGCATTTATGATCAGATCTTGGATATGTGCACACACCCAATGAACAGGTATTGGAATGTAACAGGTCATCAATACATTGCTCAGTTGAATCAGGTTTGCTGCTAGAATTTCACAGATACACTATATGAGCAGTGAATCACTAATGTGTGATGGCTAATTTAGAATAGTTTTCCAGGCATTCCTATTGTAATACATTAGCAATAATTGACACTGCTTAAGGGATTACTCAAACACTACAACTGCTTCAGTTATTTGAGACTGGAGTCTGTAAGTGAAACAGTTACTCTGTTCTTCAAAAAAGGGTCTAAAACTGACTGATTTATTCCCACAGAAAGTAATGGACTCAACTAAAAGTGTATTCATGTAAATAGAATCCCGCAAGTGGGAATGATAACATTTTAAGAAAATAAAACTATGTATGTTGAATTTAAAATGTGTATATACTGTCCTATATGTTTCTTAATCTCTGAAGGAAGCTCAAGTAATGTTTTATATCAATTAGTCAATGTTTTTGTTTTGTTTTTTGTCAGCAGAGGGAGCTCAAGCTCCAATAATCTTTTAACAGTGTTGAGTTATTTCACATCTTACTGAAAAAAGTAAAATAAATGAAAAAAAAAAAAAAAGCTCATTGACTCTTCAGCTCCCTTTGCTGACAAATTACATACTGAAAGGGGTGTGGAAATTAAAAAAACTAAATCTACTTGTCCATGGGACTAAAGTAGTAGTCCAATTCACTTGTCCCTAATGACAAGCTACTTATCCCGACCCACAAAATAATTTTAATTAGAAATACTAAGGTCCCTACCAAGAGTGTCTCTCCCTCTGTCCTTACTCATAGTGTGCTGGCAACGTGTAGTATGCCTGGTGTCCGTATGTACATGCTGGCTGTGTTCAGTATGTTTGTGTGCTGTGTATAATGCGTGTATGGTATGTTCTGGCTGTGTGTAGGCATGTGTGCAAGGGTGCTCTGTGTTTTGCCCCCTCTCTCTGCTTACCTACAGTGCAGGTAGGGATTATGAACCCTGGTGGTCCATCAAGGGTTAAACAAATCCAGCAGAGGATAAAAAATTTTTTCCTGGTGGTCCAGCAGGTGATAGAAAAAGTCCCTGGTGGTCCAGCACCAGGGGATAGAAAAAGTCCCTGGTGGTCCAGCACCAGGGGATAGAAAAAGTCCCTGGTGGTCCAGCACCAGGGGTTAGAAAAAGTCCCTGGTGGTCCAGCAACGGTATACAATTTCTGGTGGACCAGCAGGGGTTAAAATATTACAGCATGAGGGCTTTTTGAGCAGTAGAACCAGGGGAGTGAGCACTAGGACACGGAGGGAAGCAGGAAGCTCAGTAGCGAGCAGATAAGAATGCTCCTGTGCATTATGCCCCCGAGCTGACAGGAGAAGGAAGACAGCCCGCATGGAAGGTAGAGCAGCCCGGAGTGCCATGTGAGGGAGCCTGTGGGCTGCAGCACATATAATTGTTCATTCATGGTCCAGTGCTCATTAGTGAGTGCAACACTGAGTCAGCGATTACTTTGTTTTGAGCCCGATAGAGGTTCAAACCACACGCTCCCCGGCCCAGCATCGCGGCAGTCCTGCTGCTTGCCCAGCTAAAAGGGGTGAGGACTTCCAGCCAGTGTCAGGCAATAAGAATTCCACATCCCCGATGCTGAATAAGTGATCTAAAACAACTTTTTGCATTTCCTTCAGAGATTAAGTAACATATAGGACTGATGTCAACGGTGGAAGATTAGGCCGGGGGGTAGGAGGATTATGGAAAGACGACATGTAGGAAGGTTTACTCTGACCAAAAACAGTGTTTTCTTAAAACCCTGCTTTTGAGTTGGAGTAACTTTTTTTTTTTTAAGTGTTCCCAGCCGGTCACATCCAGGGTTTTTGTGCAGGGTTTTGCATACTAAAAGCAAATGGCAAATGGATTTTGTTGTATAATTTACACCTTATGCCACGCTGTTATGGAAGCAATTTAACAACCAAAGTAAATGCATGGGTATGGCATTTCGGAAGGAACTCTCTATGTAATGGTACAAGTGAACTACATTTTGTTTGAGACCTGAGAGGAAATAACAATGGGCAAGCTACTAAGTATTGATCCATTTTCAATCATCACATAAACTCTGCTACCCAAACACTAAGAAGTGTACCCAGAGTATAGTGGGGTGCTAAATATCTTAGCAATACAGCAAAGCACTAAGGGGTCAAAATAATGCAAAAAAAAAAAAAGAAAAGCTAATAATTAGTTACATATCATGACATAAGCAGACATTGTGTATTCAATAACAGGCAAAATGTAACTGGCTAGCTGAAATTTGATTTGTTTAACAAATACTGTACTGTAAAAGAGGAGAAATGTTTTTAAAAATAAAAATTGTTACCTTTAAATTGTATAATTGCCTATGAACAACACAAACATACATACAGTTATTACCTTGGAGGATTTGATGGAGCATTTACAGAAGCAAAATAATCTTGATTAACTTGGCTGCCTCGGATGACTTCAGAAACTGTGTTTATGGTCTGTTGAAAACACAAAAATCAAAGGAACTTAGCAGTTTCCAGTAAATATCATATCAGTAAGATTTTGACAGTGAGATTCCAAAATTTGCCAGTTCAGCAGAACCATAACAGAAGATTACTTCGTAGATCACTCAACCCCTACATTTTGGTCAGGGCGCATATAGAGCGCATAATGTAACATTTAAAGGGTTACTGAAGCTTTATTGTCCATTTTTATTAAAATTGCTTGAAATACTTTAGTGCTGACATGTTCCTGGATTCCCTTGTTTTGTACCTGAACAATCCAGTGTTGGGTCCCAGATTGTTTCCAAACCTACTTAGTCGTCAACACTACGTCATAGTCTTCCAAGTTGCAGTCCAATCAAATGCTTCTCATAGAGAATCAATGATGAACGGCAGGAACATTCAGAGGAAGAATGAGGTTACTGTGTACCGTGGTTGCAACTAGACCCTGGCACTAAAGTGCAGATTATGCTGTACGTGCAACGTTTCCAGCACATAAAGTATACTTGCACAATGACCACTTCTAAAAGCAGAAATAAAGTAACCGTTTAAAGAATCCATGGAAGATGGATAGCAAGTAAATAAACAGATTCCAGTTAGAATAAATGTAGACATATAGTAGATCAGTCAGAATAAAAGGGAGATTTCAGTTGGGCTTTATTAAAAAAGACTTGTGCTGCATTTCATTGCACGGCTTGTGCTCTGCAGTGCAATGAAATGCACAACGGGTCGTTTATTCTTCTGCACAATTTAACTCAGTATCATAATTTTATATATACATAGGAAGAGAATCTACTTACCTCTGTCAAGATGTCAGCAGGAACCCCAGTTGCCATCAAGATTATGCAGAGCTGCTGTAACAGGCCACACTGGAACATTGATTTCTGACAGCTACTGGTGGCACCCGGAGGATTTATGGGAGATACCAGCACTCTGACAAGCTGAAAGAAAAAGGAAGCACAACTACACATCAGTCTTTTCTAGGATTTATGTTGTATGCCATGTTATTTTAAACAGGTAGATAAGAAGCATACCACAATCACCAGGCTACCAAGGTGCACCGGTTCCGGGGAATGCCAGGCCCCACATAAAGTGTATAGAATAAAGTAGTGATCCAGGCACCCAAATTGATAACAAACAGCAGATTTATTGGAGCAGAACACGCTGCTGTTTGCTATCAGTTTGAGTGCCTGGACCACTATATGTTATTTTAAACAAACAGGGTTATTTGCTAAAGTTAGAATTGCTGAGAATGCAAAGTGAATTTAAAATGTAAAGCTAAAATGTTAAATTCACTAAAATAAAAACAGAATTGCCTTGGAGGTTTTATTTTTCTAATTTAGCTATTTTGGCCTTCATTTGAAATTCACTTTTAATTACTGTTAAATCTTATTTTAGTGAATAACCCTGAAATAGAGCAAAAATACATGTACATTGTTTCAAGTTAAAATAGACCAACTCTATGTTTTGGGCTGTCTGAGAATGATGGAAATCACACTTCAAGGTAACAACTAAGATTTACAGCTGCTGTAATGAATTATGCATATGCATAGGGTGAAACAACAAAAAAATAGTTTCTCTCTCACAAATACTATTCCAGGTATAAAAATAAGGGAAGAAGGACATAATTAACAAGAGCTGTCAGGGAGTGAAAAAGCTTGAGACATGTATATACACTAATATTACATATGCATATACCAGATGAAAGTAATTCTCACTAAGAGTCATTGTGTGTATCAGTGTGTAGTATAGCAATCCAATGCAATTATATCTGCAGCGCTGGGATGGCAATCTCTCAGTCAGCCCAGTTCTGCAGATATAATTGCATTAATAATATTGCAAGATACAGGACTATGAAGAATGTGTGGGGGAAATGGGGTCTTGGAGTTGTTCTTGAGGGGAGGGAAAAGAATATGAGTGTAACAGGCAGTATTGGTGGAGTAAAAAATGTACACTAACAGTAGAATTAGGAGGAGCTCCTGCAGCATAGAGGCAAAAGGGTCAGAAAATTTAAATGGAATATTAAACTAATGGTGTTAGGATGACAGTGATAAGAATGGAGCAAGGACAAGATTACAGACAAGAAGTTTAAAGATATGGAAAAGATGAATATATATTATAATAGTCAAGTACTGAGCGTTTGTGAGAAGAGGTAGTTCAACGGGCTTTAGGTATCGAGGAAAAAATGAACAGAACTGTGGAGTGAGTGCATATATAGAGAGATTATTGAGATATTGAGGGGTTGAGAAAGCTGAGAGGGGAAACGTATGCTTTACATGGTAGGACAAGAATATAAAATGGATGGAGGGGCTGATGCACAAATTAAAGGAGCAGAAACAAAAATTAAGAGAAAACTGAGAGGGGACAAGAAATAACAAAAAGGAAAGAATGTGAGCAAAAGTAGTATGAAATAGCCTGCCTACCACCATCAGACTCTCCCATAGTCTTCAATCCTTTAAGAAGTGCCCTAAAACCCATATCTTTTGTAAAGCTTGTGGCCTCCCAGAGTAACCTATACCTTACATACCTGTCTATTCTAAAGGGCAGTAACTCTACTCTCTCCTCAAGCTCTGCTTCACTCCCACCTTATTTGATTGCTATTTCCTGTCCTAATGTGATTTATACCCCACCTCCTATAGACGGTAAGCTTGTTTGAGCAGGGTCCTCCTCAACCTATCGTTCCTGTAAGTTTTCTTGTAATTGTCCTATTTATAGTTAAATTCCCCCTCTCATAATATTGTAAAGCGCTACGGAATCTGTTGGCGCTATATAAATGGTAATAATAAATAAATAAAGAGAATGTGGTTATTTATTTCCACTACTAGATTCCAGCATACAATATACCTTAGACCAACAGAGGAATGTTCTTCAAAATCCATCACAATATTCAGAGCTAGAATGCAACAAAACGGCTCTATTTTTCCCACACAGGTGGCATCAGTCTGGCAATATTGTGGTTCTAACGAGTGCTGTGATGATAGATCCTTGCTGTAAAAATATAGAAATACATACCTGCAACATCAAATGAAGATTTGTCACTTTTTGAGCAGACCATCCTGAGTTGTCATCTCCAACTTCAAACCATGGTTTCATGCGTTGGATATATGAGCCTTCTTTGAAAAAGTTCTGATTGGAGTTGTTATATTTCAGAAGGTTTTGAAGTAACAACAGACAATCCTCTACTACAATACCTAGAATAATACAAAGGGAACTGAAATGAATATAATGTTGAAAGTTTGAAAAATGGTAGATAAAATTGATCATGTTTTTATTTTAGTGATTGAATACTTTAAGATTTGACATCAAGGAGAGGGTTACAAAATAGTTCAAAAATGAATTCCACTGATGTATTTTAAAAGGACACAAACGTCTTATCACTTTTTTTTTTTTTTAGTTTCTTTTTTCCCCCCATTCTTCACCAACAATTAAACAATCTTGTCAATCAAGTCTTTCTCAATTGTTACTATACCTAAATGCCTACATAGGAATATAACCATTCAATGTACTAAATATTGAATAGAAAAAAGAAGCCATGCAACATTTTAGTCCAAAGAGAGGAGTCCTGCAAACGACATTTCTGATCACGTTGGCATGATACAAAGTATGTGACTGAAACACATTTACATGGACCTCACCTGTGACTGGTACAGAAATGAGATAGAATAACTATTTACTGTAATTGTTAAATCTGTTTGTGTCTTTATTTTTTTGGATGTAATAAGTGCCAGAGAAAGAAATAAAGGTTCATTTTACTTGTGTTCGACGGATCTAGTTTAGAAATCACTCATCTACAATACACCTGAAACTAATATAAACCCTTGTAAACCATGTTATAAACTATTTTTATCAGTGAATGAGAAGAAAACAGGGAGAACACAAACAAAAAGTGCAGAGCTCAGGTTAGCATTTTTACACAGCTGATCAAATACAGCTAACAGGAAGGTGATATAATATAAACAAGGGATATCTGGGCAAAGTCTATACAGATTGTTATATACCGGTAGGTTTTAGCAAGGCATAGCACCGCCCTGGTTGGGCATAGATCAGTGTAATAATGAAAAACAAAATTATTTCATAAAGGTACTCTCATAAATCTATTAAAAAAAAAAATTACAAAAAAAACACACACACTATATATATATATATAGTCGATCAGAATTTTTTTGAATTGGCAATAAAGAAATCATTTTAACTTCAAAGAAACCGTGAGTGCAAGCCAGTTTCTATATATTTTATATTTTTTATATATCAGCCACAATATATAGTAAAAACCAAAGAAAAGCAAGTTAACTGCGCTCTCTCCTTAATCCCTATGTATTTTTAAACAAATGGAGTTTTTTTTAGTTACCTCCAATGGCCATCAGATTTTTGCCAGAAGCTCAAAGAAGCAAGGTGAATAGTTAGAGTTAGGGCACATCTGGGGGGGGGTCTGCTTTGGCATTGGCAGGTGGGCTCATCCTCTCATGGCCATTGGAGGTAACTAAAAAACCTCCATTGGTTTAAAAATACATAGGGATTAAGGAGAGAGCGCAGGTAACTTGTTTTTCTTTGGTTTTTACTTATATATATATATATATATATATATTTAAATATTATACACACATATATACATGCATACACACATCTATCTATCTATCTATCTATATGCTATAGTCAAAGGTAAGATAAAACAACCACGAAGACAAAAGGAAAATATGTTAAAGTAAATCAGCTGCCCTTAGCTTTATTGTTTACTTTTTCTGCCTTAATTATATATCTCCTCCATCAAACTAGGCCTCATCTATTGCATACAGCTGCACAGGGTGTAAGTTTAGTCCTCCTTGTCTCATGTGCTTTGCTTATAAACACTGTTTTAAAGTATCAAAAAGTTTACTGCTTGTCCTGAGGAAAGAGTTGGGACTGGAATGTCAACATCTGTTAGACAACTTTGTACAATACTACAGAAACTTCCAAGTGAAGGAATAAAGATTTGTTGTGAGTGGAAACATACATCTTTGCTGTATTGTATTTGGAGGCCACTATCTAGCCCGGTATGGAAATAAGAGTTGGGCAATAGTGTAAGGCTTATTTCATTATTGCTTGTATGTATGCATGTATGACACATACATACACAAAAAATATGTTAAAGCAAAACCAGCAGCCATTAGTTCTTTTGCTTACTTTGTCTGCTTTAATTATATATCTCCAGCAGAGTAGAAGCATCCTTCATCCAACAAGCCCTCATTTAGCATTGAATATCTTACATGGCTCCCTAGGCAATCAAAAATACATCAATTGATGCCATTTTTTTACCTTATGTGAGATTTCCACAGTTAAACAAAAAGCTCTCAAAGTGGAAGCTGCTGCTCTGTCGGAGATCCCCAATTACCACTGAAAATGTAAAGCTTTAAAAACGGAAGGCTTATTTTATCCTTCTTTTTACATTATTGCTTATAGGGAATCTATTTTGACATGTATGCCTTTTATCAAACCATACAGAAAAAAAAAAAAAAAAAAAATACTCAACCATAGTTTTACCGTTAAAGCAGGATTGTCATATTTTTTGTGTAAAACTCATTATCAAACCAAAATACTGCCTGCAAGTTTTTATCATTATTATTCTACCTCGTTTCTCAAAAAACAAACAAATGTTTACATATTGTTGAGATAATGCTGAGCGTACTATATCATGAAGCCTTCTTCCTAAAGAAGACGACCTAATCAGAGTTTTATGAACTACTAGCATGCCGATGTAAGCTCATGTCACCTCCATCAATTTACAAAGCATATGAAACCAACTGGCTTCTATAGGCACTAACAAAAAGTAAAGTATTTCTGCACCTTTTATTAATAACTTTTAATGGGTCACACCAAAAAAAAAGGTGTATATGGTCAGAAATGTAATCTAAGAAACACATGACAGGTTTGCAAAATTTATTGCAAGATCTAGGACTCTACTGCATGCAGATTAAGAAAGTTAAGCTGTTTTACCGTAAGCGTGTTCAGCAAATTGTGTATGTGCTTAATGAGTTTAGAGAAAGAGCTACAAATGCTAAGTTTTTAACAATCAAAATACATTAAAAGGCTCTAATATTTTACTCTGCAGAGAATGACTTGAGACCAAATTATAATTGCCGGCTTGTTTTGAGAACACTTTGGGCTAAACTAGATTCATGGAATGGCAGAGAGACACACCTCCATCACTATTCCCTTCTTCTGATATTATGTCAAGAAGTCTTTCAAAGGCATTTTCAAAGGCGACAATTTTCTGAATAGCAGCATTACTTTTTGTCAATTGCTGTAGCAATAAAAGCCCCTGCAGAAGAAATAATTACAAAGAATTAACTACAACAGATGTATTGCAAGGCAGTATTAATAAAATAAAAACAAACTCCCTGTCAAGCACCATTTCAATTACATCAAACCATAGCAAATTTTGAATCAATGTGCATAAATTTGTTATTGCACTTCTGGGTATTTTCAGGCAATAGATGCAGTGTATAAGGTATACATCATTTATACAGCCACTGGTTCCTAAAAACATCTTAATCAGGTGTGAATATCTCACTAAGGAACTGTACATGAGCATTCTACATATGTACTTAACGCTCTGATTACATCCCCAGGCTTGAGTTGAGCAATTTCTTTTTTTAAACATCCTATAAATGATACATAAAATGGTATTTGCAGAAATATTACATTATTCATATTCCAAGAGCTTGCATTTGCTGTATCAATTCAGGCTTTGCAGTTGACCTCCAAAGAGAAGCATTGAGGGCTCTACTTTACATGTGTGGCAACCAATGCACTGTGCCGGTATAATTCTCCTCATACAATGCTCACTGGTTGACAAATGTAAACATTGCTATTTCGCATAAAAGGTAAGGCTAACATTTGTGAAAGTGCATGGGGAGCCCCTAGGCATCAATACCACTACATTAAGCTGTAACGATCTTGATGCTTAGAGTGCAGCTTTAACCTAAAAGGATATTAAATTGTCACTTTGCATCATAGAACAGCCCAAATTCCCAACATGGTATCGTGCCATTGTAAAATTTAAAATATAAATGACTTACATCGTTACGAATCACTTCTCTAGAATCATCTAGCAAATCCATCAATCTTGAGACACCTGCAAAAGAAGTTGCCAGTCAGTCATTTCTAATAATCATCTTGCACCAGAAGGAATCACCTGCAACTTACTACTCCTTTTTGACAGATATGTTTAAAATCCCAATTATACAACAGTTGTATGGAAAATAATGTATTGAAAAACAATACTAGATGTTTTTGCTTTCTTAGCCCTTAGAGGGACTGACCCACCGTGAACAAAAATTATGTAATAAAATCACTCTAGCAGCAAGACGGGTCCTTGCAGCCCACTGGTTACACCCCGCCCCCCCTCCTCATGTGAGGTGAGGGCAAAAATAGAAGATAAACACCTAATGGATCAATTATCAGCAACCCTGCAGTGATCTTGCGTAACTCCCTTGACTCTTTCCACAAAGTCTGGGAACCCTGGCATAGGTCTAAGGACAGGCTGTAGATTTCACGACACAGGGACAATATAGCACTCCTGGGTACTGGAGAAGTGGCCCTGGCATTCACCAGTATAGGGTATTGGGAACTCATATAGGTGGAGGATCAGAGGGGCGGGGGAGGCGGGAGCGGAGATATTCCGCTTAACCCCCGCACCCTTTTTTTTTTCTTCTGTTCACATAAGATTTCTATGTACTAGGCAGAGGCCAGATAACATAAATAGGATTATCGCTTAGAAGGCATCTTCGACATAGGTAAAGAGGTCAGCTCAGACGCCTATCATAAGCTTGGTTCACTGCACTTGCTACCCTTTATACTTCTTATTTCACTCAGTTCTCTATTATACTTAAAATATAAAATCTTGCTGTGGACATGCAGAGTGCTTGCAATGACATTCTGGGGACTTCTTGTTGATTGATGTGGTCGTGTATATGCTTATCAACCTTTTGTAGGAAGTATTTCATGACCATGTTGTAAAAGCACTGTTTTTACTTGGATTGTGATCATTGACTATTGGCATGCAAAAAGAAAGAATAAAAAACAACAATTCAATAACTTACCCATTGGACTAACTAAAACAATTTGCTGAACTTGTGGTGCCTGCTGTTTAAGAAGAGTGGTTAATAGCTTCACCCCAGGCCAGCGCACATGAAAATCAAATTCCTGCAAACAAATAATAAGCATGTTTACAGACTAAAGTGTATCCCTGCAACATACCATGTGACCGCCATGACCTGTATTTAGTGTGCATTACCCTAAAGAAAACATTGTAGAAAAAAAATACACAATCCATCACAGCTTTTAAGTTTTCTTATGCAATAAGCAACAGCTTATTATTGGATGGTGAGTTGGAGTCGAGGTTGGGCTTTTTCAGAATCGGCGTTCTAGGTGATGGAAATGTGCCGGAGGAAAGGGAGAGACTGAAAATTTTAGTGAGAGGAAGAGCAAGAGAGGGAGACAGAGTGCGGATGAGATATGAGGTAATAGAATCAAGGGAACAGGTAGTGGGGAGGGAGGACCGGAGCAGAGCAGAAACCTCTTCCATTGTAGTAGGTGCGAATGAGCATAGAACAGTGGAGTGAGCGGAGTTGGGTGATGTATTGTAAGGGGAGGGAGAGAGGTTAGAGATCTCTTCCCTGATTGTAGAAATCTTCTCAGTGAAGTGAGTTGCAAAGGTTGAGGTGGAAAGGTTGGTAGTGGGAGGTGGAGCAACAGGATGAAAGAGAGCATTAAAAGTGTGAAATAGGCATTTGGGTTGGTGGCACAGTGTGCTTATGAGGGTGTTGAAGTAATTTACTTTTGCAGAGGAAATAGCCAGAGTGTAGGAGCGCAGCATAAATTTATAGTGGAGGAAGTCCGGTGCAGAATGAGACTTTCTCCAACAGCGCTCAGCAGTTCTGGAACATTTTTTTTGAGATATCGGGTCAGCTTGGTGTGCCAGGGTTGTAATTGGAAATGCTTTCTGCGTTTAAATGTAGGAGGTGCCATGATGTCAAGTTGAGAGGAGAGAGTGGAGTTGTAGAGTGAGGTTGATCAAGAGATCAAGGCAGTGGAGGTTTCTGCGAGATTGGAGAGTTGAGGGTGGTGAAATTTGGGTACGGGGTATGCCGATGTCAAAGGTCAGCAGGTGGTGGTCAGATAAAGGGAATGGAACATTGGAGAGATTAGAGGTGGTACAGAGATTGGTGAACAGGTATAGTATAGTTGAAGATATATACAAAATAGGGCGCCACTATCACAAATGTGTGAAATATAGTTACCCCTCAGGATTCAGATGATAACATGTAAAAGATCATAAAAGAGCACATATGGTGAAGTATTTAATGATAACAAATATTAAAATTCAAACAGTAAAAAACACACTCACAAGAGAAATGTGCAAAAGAGCGTTTCAGCCACCAATGGGCTAGATCCCCTTAGAGAAAGTCTGCCAATGATACCTCTGGACACCAGTTAGTCAGTGTATGGCAATAGAAGAGAAAGTTTGTAGATAAGATGTAGAGAATCTCTGTGGTCCTGTAGGTCACGGCTTGAGTCTCAAATATTACGCGTTTCGTCCGTGGACTCTCTCAAGAGCTGTAGCCTCTCAAAGGGCTTCGGCCGAAGCCCTTTGAGAGGATACAGCTCTTGAGAAAGTCCAAGGACAAAACGCGTTGAGCCTGTACAAGTGCACCTAGCAAATAATTGAGATTAAAGCCGCAACCTTCAGGACCATGGAGATTGTCTCCATCTTACCTACAAACATTCTCTTGGCTTGGCATACACTGACTAATTGGTGTCCAGAGGTATTATTGGCAGACTCTCTCTAAGGGGACCTAGCTTATTAGTGGCTGAAACGCTCTTTTGCACATTACGTTATACTTCTTTCTGTGCCATTTCTCATGTGAGTGTGTTTTTTACGATTTGGATTTTAATATTTGTTATCATTAAATACTTCACCATATGTGCTCTCTTATGATCTGTTACATGTTATCATCTGAATCCTGAGTGGTAACTATATTTCACACATTTGTGATAGTGGCGCCCTATTTTGTATATATCTTTAACTATACTATACTTGTTCTTTGTATTATTGGGATTTGGAAGTGATCCCTTATTGTGGCTTGCCAGCACTCAGTTTTGCACTTTTTCCGATCTACCAGTTTTTTTACAGAGATTGGTAAAGATGAGGTCAAGAGTGTTTCCTGCTGTATGAGTTGCTGACGTAGACCACTGTGTGAGGCCAAAGGAGGAGGTTACAGAGAGCAGACGTGAGGAGTCAGGGCAGTTGAGGTTGTTGATTGGGATGTTAAGTATGAGGGAAGGAGTACTAGAGGAGAGAAAGTGGGGTAGCCAGGAAGAAAAGTGTTCAATCAATAGCCTAGGATGACCGGGGGGGCGATAGATGATGGCAATTCTTAAAGGAGTGGGCTTAAATATGCAGATAGTGTGAACTTCAAAGGAAGTAAAGGATAGGGCAGGGAGGATAGGTTGAAAGGTACACTGAGGGGACAGAATGATGCCTACACTGTAGCCTTTACAGCTGAGTCTGGGAGTGTGGGAGAATTTTAGTCTACCAAAACATAAAGAAGCCAGAGTAGCGGTATCAGAGGGGGAAGCCAGGTCTCAGTGTGTGCTAGTAGTGTGAGGGAATTAGAGATGAAGAGGTCGTACACCTACACACCCACAACTGTAAATACATATAAGGTATGGGCAGAGACCCACTTTTAAATACCGTAATTTTTTGAGACCCACTTGCTTTTAATGCATATTCTAAAAATGAACACCATGGCAATTAGTTTTAGAGGCATACAACTGGCACACCATGGCAATCATTTTTAAAAAACATACAATTGGCCCACCATGGCAATCAGCTTTAGATGCATACACTGGCGTACATACCAGGGTCGCAGGGGTCGCGGCTGCGACCGGGCCCGGCCCACCAGGGGGCCCGGCCGCCCCTGTGACCCTGTATGTAGCCACAGGGCCAGCCTCTGCCCCTGGGGGGCCCAGGAGCCGACCACCCCAGGGCCCCCCGAGGCTGGCCCTGCTGACACCAGCGGGCAGGTGGCCAGGCGGGCGCGCGAGGGAGCACTCTGTGTGCTTCCTCTTCAGCTCCCTCGCGCACCGCACTGATGCCGGAGCCGGAAGATGACGTCATCTTCCGGCGCCGGCATCCCTACGCGGTGCGCGAGGGAGCTGAAGAGGAAGCACATGGGGGAAAGTGCTCCCTCGCGCGCCCGCCGCCCAGACAGACAGCCCGCCCACCCAGTGACCAGGAGCCCAGCAGCACCACTGGACCCCAGGGATTCCCCCCAGCACTCCAAAAGGTAAGGAGGCTGGGGGGATTACATTTGAAAAAAAAATGTGTTAGTGTTAGTGTGTGTTAGTGTATGTGTGTGTGTTAGTGTGTGTGTCAGTGTTTGTTTGTGTTAGTGTTTGTGTTAGTGTGTGTGTCAGTGTTTGTTTGTGTTAGTGTATGTGTGTGTTAGTGTATGTGTGTGTTAGTGTATGTGTGTGTTAGTGTATGTGTGTGTTAGTGTATGTGTGTGTTAGTGTATGTGTGTGTTAGTGTATGTGTGTGTTAGTGTGTGTGTCAGTGTGTGTTTTGTGTTAGTGTGTGTGTCAGTGAATGTGTCTGTTATTGGGTGTGTGTCTGTTAGTGAGGGTGTTACTGTGTGTGTCTGTTACTGAGTGTGTTTGATGTCTGTTAGTGAGTGTGTGTTTGTCAGTGAAAGTGTATGTTTTGTGAGTGTGTATGTATGTCTGTCGCTGAGTGTGTCTCTGTCAGTAAATGTGTGTGTCTGTTAGCTAGTGTGTATGCGTCTGTTCGTGAGAGTGTGTGTGTGTGTCTTCAGCATTTACCTTTCTCCAGCGTCGGACTCCCCAGTGTCCGCCTCTCAGCTCCGAATGCACATGCGCGGCAAGAGGCGCGCGCGCGCATTTAAACCGCCCATAGGAAAGCATTACTCAATGCTTTCCTATGGACGTTCAGTGTCTTCTCACTGTGATTTTCACAGTGAGAATCGCGGAAGCTCCTCTAGCAGCTGTCAATGAGACAGCCACCAGAGGCTGGATTAACCCTCAGTGAAACATAGCCGTTTCTCTGAAACTGCTATGTTTTCAGCAGCAGGGTTAAAACTAGAGGGACCTGGCACCCAGACCACTTCATTGAGCTGATGTGATCTGGGTGTCTGTAGTGGTCCTTTAAGTGTGTGTGCTTACCGCGGTCGCGGGGTCGGAGCCCAGCAACCCCTGCGACCAGGTGCCCGCCACCATGTGTTGTGACCCCGACCCGCGCCGAGTAAGCGCGGGGGGGTGGGGGCCCACGGATCAATTTTTGCACCGGGGCCCCATGGGTCATGTGTACGCCACTGGATGCATACAATTGGAAGACCATTGCAATCAGTTTTAAAGGCATAAAATTGGCACGTCATGGCAACTTTAGGTGCATAAAATTGGCACACCATGGCAATCAGTTTTAGAAGCATAAAATTGGCACACAATGACAATCAGCTTTAAATGCATAAACTTGGCACATTATGGCAATCAGCTTTAGAGGCATACAATTGGCACACCATGGAAACCGTCTTAGCTGCATAAAATTGGCACACCATGGCAAACAGGCTTAGCTGCATAAAATTGGCACACCATGGCAAACAGGCTTAGCTGCATAAAATTTACACACTATGGCAATCCGTTTTACAGGCATACAATTGGCACACCGTGGTAATCAGCTTTAGATGCACACTTGGCACATGATGGCAGTTTTAGAGGCATAATTTGGCATATCATGGCGGTTTTAGAGGCATAATTATGGGAAATCATGGCAGTGTTAGAGCAATAATTTTGGCATATCATGGCAGTTTTAGAGGCAGAAACTTGGCACATCATGGTAATCTGTTTTAGAGGCATACAACTTATGTATGTGTGTTTGAATGTAAGCATGTTTTTGTATGGAGTATGTGTGTGAATGTTGGTGTTTGAATGCAGGTGTGCATTTGTGTGCAGTGTATACACTTCCACACACATACAGAGACACACACTGCAATACATGTAAATACACAGACAAACAAATACGCACACTGACACACCAATACACACAGACATACACACAATGACACCTAGTTTCCCTCACACAGATACACAGACACACATGGACACACAAATACACACACACTGACACAAACGGGCACACAGATACACATACAGAGACAGGAGGTGGGG